AACATGACGTCTATAGTATGATATTATTAGGAACGAGAATTGTTCAAGTAAAAAAAGAATGAAAGCTAAGAAGAAGAAATATTAGATTAAGGTAGGGCTCATGCGGATCTAACAGTTCGGTTCTTTTCCAAGTAAGCTGTAACTTTTAGTTCAAATTTGACCTGTAAAGCATGAATTTTCGCCCTTGCTTCATGCATATACGTTTCACGGTGTACTAAGCCAGTGGGGTCGTTCAAATAAGCCTAGAATTACGCCGGGTACTGTGAAAAGTCTGAACGCGCCATGGGAGTTGTAATAGTTAGCCCTCTGACGAGACAAAGCCAAGAAAATTGACCCCTGTCGTATGCTAGTACGTACTGTACCATAGGATCGGGTCAGTACATGCTGTTATCTGGCAGGCCGGTACAAACTGGGCAGGTCCTGTTCGAATTCAAATTTACTACGGTCCAGAGTGAATGAAAAAAGTATTAAGTAGACAATAACGTAAGTTAAGTTGTTTTTTAATCTAGACCAACACGTAATATAAATATTCAAATAGAAAAACCGAATGCATCTCGCCCTGGTTGGTCCAGCTTGTGGGCTGTCCACAAACCATAAAAATATATTTTAAAAATTCACATCTCAGCGTGTTTTTACACAAAACAGTTTCAACAGAGTCTAAAACCACATTGACCGAACTAGGTATCCACAACGTAAAGTTTTAACAGAGTCTAAAACCACATTGACCGTACTCGGTATCCACAACGTAAAGTTTTAACAGAGTCTAAAACCACATTGACCGAACTCGGTATTCACAACGTAAAGTTTTAACAGAGTCTAAAACCACATTGACCGTACTCGGTATCCACAACGTAAAGTTTTAACAGAGTCTAAACCACAAAGTCTGGACTCGGTATCCACAGCGTACAATTTTAACCCTAAACACATAAATACCAATTTGAACCTATATCAAATGTTTATAACATTAAAACATTGCTATACAGTAGATTTATTCAGTTTTATAAAAGTTCGTCTGAAAGTTGGAAGTTCGGTTCAAAACTGTAAATCTGAAAAAAGACTAGAACAGTTCTACGGAATAATTTAATTTAATATTGTTCTACATTGTGGACTTGATATGTCCAACCTCAGCAAAAATTTAATCAAACATAATTTGAAATATGAAGATATATCAGTAGATCAATGTTGAAGAATTCAAATTTTGTTAGAACTTTCAAATGCCAGGTCTAATGAGCTTTTTATCAACGGATTTGAAAACAATGAAATTGTTGATTTTATAAACATTTTATGTTCTGACTAATTTCATCTGCATCATATATAAATAATTGTTTTTATAATAATAACTCTTATATATCTTATATATCATAACCTTTGTGCACCAAAAGAAATNATAATTGTTTTGACAACAAATAACATTCTTTCAAATATTATGCTGTTATATTTAGAGTATTACGGCTTACCTCAGGTTTAAAAACAATAATATTTGCTGCTTAAGTTTTTTGTTTACTTAATATTCTAGAAGATTTAATAATTCACAAGGATGTAATGAAAGGAAAGTTATTTCAGAAGTGTACACATCTTTTGTACTGCAGTGTACTGTCTCTGGACGGTAATGTAAACACAAGACGGTGTCAAAGCCTGGCATGGGATCCAAATTTCACATAAATAATCAATGAAATATTCTGGTCATAGGTAATTATTATATGAATTATCAAAATTATCAAAATTTAATGCTTTTAACCTCCTCGGATACTAAACGAACACTGATGCATCTATTCTTGTTTACAAATTCCGCCCAAAGAGAACTGGTTTCAATATGTACGCAAAGTATACACGACTGCAATTAACTTTCTTTGCCTTACATTCTTGATAATTCATATCTTTTTATCACAAACATTGGATACAATATTGTTCATTATGGTACAGGGGTTTCCATTTTATTCTAATATATTATAACTTTTAGAAATTAAAAACCAAAAACCAAAATATGAACAAATCTATCCCTAAAAGCAGCAAAGAAGTAGGTTTAACATGCGGAAAATTGTTTGATAAACGATGATATTTAATATTCTATGGAATTGGTGCGGTTATAGAATTGGTCTGTAAACATTCCCAGCAAGTCGCAGCTATCTCAGTTTTAGCTTTTGTAGAGTGTAGAGGGATTTTTAGCTGGTTACGTTAATTTAAGAACGTTTTCAACGGTTTTTCATTTAAGAAATGTTACGTTAATTTAAGAACGTTTTCAACGGTTTTTCATTTAAGAAATGTTACGTTAATTTGAGAACGTTTTCAATGGTTTTGCATTTAAGAAATGTTACGTTAACATTTCCGTCACGGAATTAATCCAGATGTAAGAAAATTATTAGATTTTTTTATTTTTCAGTTATGCTGACGGTGGATAATTTTTCCTGGAATGAATCTTCCCTCCCTTTCATCTCCCTTCCCTCCCCTCCACCTCCCCATCCTTATCTTTCTTCTCCTCCTCCACCAACATGTTCTCGAGGTGGGAGGACACGCGAGGCTGATGGATCCTCCGTCCAGAGCCTCAATGTGGAGACTGGGATATGATAATCCGGCAGATTTCAACGATCATCAGGTACTGTAGAGAGTAGAGGCGTTTACAGGCTAGGAGGGCCTTGGGTAATGCAGGAATTGAGTCTTTGCCACAAACTCTGTTTATCTCTGATATTTTAAACTTAGATCGTTTGATCCAATAGAATGCATAATTTGAAATTCTAAGGTCAACTACATTTGGTTGCGAAGATGTAGGGATTAGAAAATTAGAGTTTGTGGCAAAGCCTTCATTCATTTTTACAAATTTTAAGACTTTATCTAATCATGATGCAGCCAAGACGAATTTTGTTAGCGGACCCTTTAATTCTAGGGTTACTGTGGAGGATTTAAGCATCAGTGGGGTCGGTTGGGAGGAAGGTGCGGGATATGCGGAGATCCGGCAGATTCATGGCCTAGGCATCATGAGGTAATCTTCTTTGTCAAAATTTTTAAAATAAAATCTAAAATATTAATCCAAAAATAAGGGGAATTTAAATTTGAAAATAATAAGTTTTTTTCTTGAATATTAAGGATATCTCACTCATCTTTCAAGTTTAATCTTTTGTGTATAACTTTAAATCGATGGCTCGGTGCCTACAAAATGTAGATAAACACAGGAAAAAAACTATTTTTTCCCATCTAATTTTACTTAAGATACATGTATTCAGGCCCCTGGTGGTAGGTTTGCGAACGGTTTGATTACCAGGAATTATTCTCCGGGAGAAGATATCACAGTAAAGGTTGATGTAACAGCAAACCATAAAGGTTACTTTACCTTCAAACTCTGCTCTAACAATAACACTCTACAGGATCCCAGACAAGACTGCTTTGACAGAACCATTCTCCAGGTACGATAATATACACTAGGGTACAATTTTTATATATTAAACCATTAGCTCCTAGCGGAGAGAACCTTGCAACCCACTTAACTTAGTTTTATATCAGATAGTTCCTAGCGGAGAGAACATTGAAACCTACTTAATCTACTTTTCGATCAGGTGGTTCCTAGCAGAGAGAAGAGGTACTACTCGACAACCTTTAAAATAGTTTTTCATCAGGTGGTTCCTAGCAGAGAGAAGAGGTACTACTTGACCACCTTTAATCTAGTTTTCCATCAGGTGGTTCCATGCAGAGAGAAGAGGTACTACTCGACAACCTTTAATATAGTTTTTCATCAGGTGGTTCTTAGCGGAGAGAAGAGTTACTCCTTGACAACCTTTAATCTAGTTTTCCATCAGGTGATTCCTAGCAGAGAGAAGAGGTACTACTTGACAACCTTTAATCTAGTTTTCCATCAGGTGGTTCCTAGCGGAGAGAAGAGGTACTACTTGACAACCTTTAATACTGGAGTATTCACGCTTAAACTTCGGTTACCTTCAGACACGTGGTGCACACAGTGTATACTACAGTGGACATATACGGTAAGTGAACTTATTTTTTAAAAAGTTACCAGTTTCTTGATTTGGGAAAAATCCCTTTTTTGCCTTTTTTTTGGCAATCAATAGTTTTAGTAGTTTTTTTTTTCAAAGAAATAATCAGGTTTATAACTGTAGGGAGATAGTTACTCCCGCCGTTTACCCGCATCTGGTAGATGTTGAATAAAATCTAAATTTGTGCTATTAAAGCCGCGCGATCCACTTAACTTAAACTCTTAAAACCAAGTTAAGAACATTCCCGTGGTTCTCCCGAGTTCCGCAATAAAAATTTGAGGCAAATCGGTCTAGGGGTTCCTGTGCTATGATCGGACAAACAAGCAGAGATTAAAAATTTATATACATAGTTCTGTAGCAGGAACAGGTCCCTTAATTTTACATGTTTAAACTGGAAACAGTCCCTTTATTCTATATGTTTAGACAGAGAACAGTTCTTTATTCTATAAGTATAGACAGGGAACATTCCCTTTATTCTATATGTGTAGACAGGGAACAGTCCCTTTATTCTATATGTGTAAGCAGAGAACAGTCTCTTTATTCTATATGTGTAGACAGGAAACATTCCCTTTATTTTATATGTGTAGACAGGAAACATTCCCTTTATTCTATATGTGTAGACAGAGAACAGTCCCTTTATTCTATATGTGTATGCAGAGAACAGTCTCTTTATTCTATATGTGTAGACAGAGAACAGTCCCTTTATTTTATATGTGTAGACAGGGAACAGTCCCTTTATTCTATATGTGTAAGCAGAGAACAGTCTCTTTATTCTATATGTGTAAGCAGAGAACAGTCTCTTTATTCTATATGTGTAGACAGAGAACAGTCCCTTTATTCTATGTATGTAAACAGAGAACAGTCTCTTTATTCTATATGTGTAAACAGAGAATAGTCTCTTTATTCTATAGATGTAAACAGAGAATATTCTCTTTATTCTATATGTGTAAGCAGAGAACAGTCTCTTTATTCCATATGTGTAAGCAGAGAATAGTCTCTTTATTCTATATGTGTAGACAGAGAACAGTCCCTTTATTCTATATGTGTAGACAGGGAACAGTCTCTTTATTCTATATGTGTAAACAGAGAACAGTCTCTTTATTCTATATGTGTAAACAGAGAACAGCCCCTTTATTCTATATGTGTAGACAGAGAACAGTCTCTTTATTCTATATGCGTAAACAGAGAATAGTCTCTTTATTCTATATGTGTATAGGCTGGGAATAACTGGGGTAACTGTGACGAGGGTGGGACGGGGCTCGGCTGTGGTCCACAAGAAACCTTCCGAGCCTGCTCAGATATATCTATACTTGGTCAGGCTCGTCTTAACCAACCCTTCCAGCTCAACCCTCTCAAGTGAGTATGTATATACAAAACATGCAACTTAATCAATCTTTAAAAAGATGTAGGATTGGATGGGGTTAGATATTTGAAGATAAGTAAAGTGAAGGGGGCATTCCCCCCCCCCTCTCCAAATGTTCAATAATTTTTCATTGCACATTTTATTAGACCCGCTCTTTTTTCGTAAAATGTAAAATTGTTTAAATTTCATGTTCATGTCGTAGGATGAATTAGCATTTTGGGGTATTTCAAAATTGTAGAAGAGTTTGCATTATTGAACAGTATTGTATTTTCCAAGTCATCGGATTGAATTAGAAATGGAAAAGCCAAATATTTCATTCATTTTCTTCAGAATTCAGCTCAAAGGGAAGATTATTGAAGAAATCCCTCCTAACACGCTTTATCCCAAATGCACCAAATCTGACGTGTCTATCAGAAAGGAATTGAATCTTTGCCACAAACTAAAATTCCAATCCTTATAACTTTGCAACCTGAATGTTTAAACCTTTCATATCTTAAGTTTGGATTGTTTTATTAAATAGAATTCAAAGTTATGAAATTTATAAGGTCCCCGACATTGGGAGGTCGGGATTAGAAAATCCCATTTTGTGGCAAAGACTCAATGTATATATGTGTAGATTCAAAATTTACAGATATCTAGAGATCGTTAAATGATTTTATAACCGATTTATTGGTTTATGTCTACAGGAAATACCTAGAATAGAACGAAAACTTTATGGCCTAATTCTAATTCATATTTAAATTTACCACAAACCAATTCCTTAATTTGTTAGTTTACACTTGATTAAACTAAAAACTTCTACACTTGATACAACAGTCCGTTTGTTTTATACAAGAATGAGAACGGTTTGCGCATTATACAGTTACGCACTGTCATGAGAAAACATTGATTACTATTCAGTTCTCCGAAAATACATCTTCCCGGCAAGTGACAAAACAAGCTGATTTTAGTCGGCTTGTTTGGGCGGTGTCAGGCCGATTCTGCTTGGCCTGATACGGTTCATTTTTCAGGGTGGACTTGGATACTAGACATCAGTACTCTGCTCCTATCTATGATACTGATACTGATCAACAGATGGATATTGTACAGGAGTATCAAGGGATACCAGGATACTATGATGGATACAAAGAGAACGAGAGCTTTATAAACGGATATCAGAATATCCTGGCAGATGGATATAGGGATGATAGCCATATATCACGATTTCCAGGAATAAAGGACGGATACATTGAAGATCAGGGTTATCCGGATATCAAAGATCAAGGATATGGTTACAATGAGGGCAAGAGCTATGGATATCCTGGATATATGATGTCACAAGCTGAAACTCCAAACAAGAGAAATCAAACCGAACCTATTCTGAACCCATCCAAGCTCCCTCCATACTTTTATATTTCTAACAGAGATTTTTTTAACGGATTTAAAGATCTAGATTTTAATTTAAGTAGTTCGGAGTTTAGTTTAAAAGATCTGTCAAGACTAGCAAATCTTGATATCTATCAAACTACAAGAGAGGCTCCAACTCCAACCCCGTCGGGACGTATCCCCTATCCGTCATATAGACCGGAGTACACTTCGACTCCGTCCTTCCAACCTCTTCCTTTTAAACCCAGAGTTTATCTACCGAGCTCGACTATCCGACCAATCACTGATTCAGGGCAAATTAGAGGAACACTTTCCAATCTAAGTTCTGTTCCACCCAGAGTTAACACTTCTCTCTCCTTTACTCCACCCCGTATTTACAATACTACTCCCCGAAACCAGTATGGGAACCGTATCTACCCTAATAATCCGATCAACCCCCAACTACCAGTTACCAGAGGCACCCAGATACAACCCTGGTTGCATCCTCAGCTCTCGGATCAGTTCTTTACCGTTAAATCTAAATCCTTGAGCTTTGGACTAATCCTCGTTCCGTCTCCGATCCTCATTATTCTAGTTTTTACAATCAGAGTACTCTGAGTTAAAATCAACTGGTAAATAATTCCCCCTTAGGCTTCCATTGTTTTATATTATATCCAATACGAGTATACAATTCAACTCAACTGTTTGGTATTTTGGTTATAAAATGTTTAGGAATATACTGTGTCTTGTTGCATTGTTTTAAAACACAAACCCAATTAACTTAGTTCTTATATCACGTTTTCCTTATGTTCTTTGTTAAAACAAATTTAAACCACAGGGCTTTTGATATGGTTCAAAAACAGATTTCATAGGATCTCCAAGGGAAGGAGGGGGGGGGGCTTTGGACTTCCTTTTAACCAAATTAACATATAAGAAAAATTTTATGGAATACGAGTAATAGACTTTGTACTAGTAAAAAAGGTTTTTTTACGAAAACGGATTTACAAATATAATGATCTTAAAAATATTCTCGTTAAACCGGCCGCTTTTATTCTTTTTAATCTTCTTTTGAAAACCCCGAAAAAAGTGGATTTTTTTATGAAACGTTAAATGAAAACTAAAATATACAGGAAAAAATTGTCTGCAGTCTGTTAGATCAAATAATCTAAGTTTGAAATATCAAAGGTTTACACCATCAGGTTGCAAAGATATAGGGATTAGAAAATGTGAGTTTGTGAAAAAGACTCAATTCTTTAAATAAAAGGGACTGTAAACGTAATTTCAAGTGTCCTTCTATTGATTGAGTGTCATGTAAAAAAGTAACTTGCGCATTTCTTAAATTTAAGAATCAATTGAGACATTATCAGAATTAAAGTCAGAAACAAAATGACGTTAAAGGGACTGTAAGAGTAACTTCAAGTAAACCTCCATGCAACGATGTCAATGCTTGATTCACAACGGTACTATTAATTACGCTTGGTCTAATCAAGAATAAATCATATTTATGATTTGGAAATAATTTTTCTTATTTGAATGCTGGGTCACTTTAGGTTACACTTACAGAATACCTACACTCCTTTAACTTCAAGGAACCGGGCATGTGCCTCTTTGAATAGAGAATTATTTAAATTTACGACGACGATCCCTTTAAAGATCCATGGCGACTGCCATGTTTAAGAAGAAAACCTTCATTATTAATAAATTCGTTAAAATTAAACGGATGGAAACTATTTTTTTTAAATCGGACAATTTAGTTAGTTTTTATGCCTAGCCTAACTTAACTTAGAACAACCATGTTTTTGAATTTAAGGTTGAAAACCTTCCTTGAAATGATATGGTGTGTGTGTGTGAGGGTAATTAAATCAGGATTTATGTTTAGTTTATGGTTATTTATAATTGATATTTTATGAACCTACTCCGCAGATGATACTGCTGTGTGAGAATATTCTTTAATTCTTCTTTTTTTCAGGACGATCACCACCGAGTCACGGGCTCCAGACGTTCTTGTTGATGATCTATTCAAACTCAACTCAACCCAATCCTCGGAGAACGCTATCGGAGATGAGAGCTCCGGGTCTAGGAAACCTATTCCGTTTCTTATCAGGAACACAACAGCTCTGGGTATGCCCATATCGATTGGTTCTCTCCGAGCGGTTGAAACTCCATCAATTCCGTCCTCGTTCAACACATTCCTACATAGGCTCCCACCTCCACAGAGGTTCGTGTTCGAGGCTCGTCAGGTACTACCTGGAGATGTGGTTGATCCTTATGAATATTTACGTTCTCTCTTCCGTGGAGAAGATGTTCTTTCGACTAAAGAGATGCCAACCTTTGCAGTACCTAGAGTCTCAGATTCAACCAGAGAAACTTTCGGAGTTCATAAACACGGGGGGACATCCTACACCACCAGGAGTCCTCAAGGATTTAATCCTTGGTTGAAAACGAGTCAAGAAAAATCAACCCGTCCCACGGCCCCTGCTTCATTAATAAACCGTCCTACAACTCCCTCATCATTCTTCGGTAGTATAGGACACTCCAGTAAAGGAGAAGACGAAAATATCATAAAACAACCTTTACCCGTTGGTATGCTTGGAACACCTGTTCCAGACTTTTTACATTTCCTTGCAAACCCTGCTAGCAATCCGTCTTCTAGTCATGATAACCTGGCAGTGTTACAAACAGCTGGAAGAAGTGTAATTAAGCAGATTGATCAGGATAATTATCAAACTAGGTTTGTAGAAACCAAGACGTTGTACACTACAAGGGCTCCGAGCTTTACTCCGCTACCAGCTGTCCCTGATAACTTGATGCCTGGAATAGATCTAGATCCAATCCAGAGTTCTCCGTCCTTCTCCTTCCAACCTGCAGTTCCCGTTAACTCTAGGATACCCAAGTTTGAAACAAACATTGATCCTGATGAGAGAGAAAACAGGTTCACTAGTTTCACAAGTTCTCAAGACTTAAGCTTTGACCGTGACAAGGAAGAAGCTTTAAGGGTATTTCGTGAAAAACTCATAGTCGGAAGAAATTCAGCAGTTATGACTGAAAATAATGATCTTGATCAATCCGAAGCTCTTAGGAAATTACGCGAAAAGCTTATTGCCGGGAGAAATCTGGCAACTACAGCTGTAAATAGTGATCTTGATCAATCTGAAGCTCTCAGAAAACTACGTGAAAAACTGATAGCTGACGGAAATTCAGTTACAGCAACAGAGCAGGAACAAAATGATTCTGAAACACTGAAAAATCTACGCCAAAAACTCTTGGCTGGCGGAACTCCTGCAATTCCATTGGAAGAAACTATGGTTGATCAATCGGAAGCATTGAGAACTTTGCGTGAAAAATTATTGGCTGGCGCCACACCTGCGACCTTTCCGGTGGAACATCCAACCTTATCTCCGTCCAGAGAATCCTTGATAAATGCTGAAACTGAAAGAGGGGGTATACTGTCTGTGGAGAAAAGTAATTTTGGCCAGCTCTCCGTAACCCCGACGGAGCAACCGAGATCTATTTTTACAACCGTAAGATCTCCAACTCAGCGTGCCAAGGTATTGAATATTCTTCAACAATTACTTATTTCAAGACAAACTACTACTATGACAACAACAACATCACCGCCAACAACAACTACAGAACCAACAACGGCAGCAAGGCCACCTAGCTTGAGGTTTGAAGAATTTAACCTTCCTTCGATTCGAATGATTCCGGTGGATTTAACCCCTCCTCCTCTACCCCCGAACGTGACTCCCGGTACCCCCATTCATCCTCATTCTCCGTTCCCGTTTATAGAACCTCCACAAAGAGATCTGATTAGTTCAAACCTCTTCTTACCTGACAGGTTAGAGATGGTTACCCCGTCCTCAACTCTTTATCCAACATCTCCCTTTCATAAGATTGAAGCTCCGAAGCTGAATCTGGAGTTTCAGGATCCGTCCCTGCAATTCTTCCCAACTCCAGGAGGAAGTCCAGACTTTTTAAACGGAGTTTTATCCGATCCAGGCTCATTGGATGTTCCACGGAGAGCTGATCACCCTACACAAGAACCAAGAGGAGGAAAAGAACTGATAAACCACAACGATTCTAAATATTTCACTCCACGACCAGGACTGGAAGCTCCACCTTCTATTTATCCTGTTCCTAGAACAAGAATGATTGCTCCGAAGTCCCAACAAACCGCTCTGTTTCGGAGATTAAGCATAGATGGACCAACAGAGAGCAGTCTTACTCCACTTGAAATATTGGCTAAGGAGACGGTTCCTAAGTTTAAACCGGATACCAGCTTCTTTGGTACACCTAGAGCTGTAGCTGAAGAGAACCAAACCCCGTTAGAGTCCATCCTATCAGATTTGAAGGGTTCCAATACTGACTATATATTCAAGGATACGGATCCGGTTCAGAGAACCCGATATCAGAGACAGTTTCCAAACAATCCACCAGCTCTCACTTTTCAAAATAATTTACCAAAAACTCAAACAGAGATAAATCCATCCCATGAAGATAAACCTAAAAGTCCAATAAATACGCACCTCAGCCAGTATGATGAACTACCCGGAGTTAAGACTGGAACCACAGCAGTAGGTCTGGTAGAACATAGAGATGGAAACCAACCTCTGTTTCATGTTCCTATCTTTACAACTCCTATTCCAAAGAACGGCAAGTTTATAAATCTAAACTCTAACCCCCTGACACGGATTCAGAAAGCAGTAGAAAACTTCCAATCCAACCTACCTTCTCCAATAGAGGGATTTAACGCAGTCAAGAACGCAATATCCAACTCTCTAGGTCTACCCTCTATTCCAGTTCAAGGTGGTACCAGAGCCTCAGCCATAGTTTCAAACTTTAAAGAGGTCCCACGTCCTCATCCCACTCAGAGAAGTGTTATAGGTCGTCCCCTAGATACGTTCCCTCGGTACACCAAGATGTCAAACTATGTTAACAGTTCAAGTCCGGATAATATTCCGGTCCTAGTTCTATATATTTCTACCTTTATATTGGGCATTATTTAAACCATTATGATAACTTAAACATACAGTGATAGCCAGAAAACTCTGAAATAGGAAGACGACTTTTAGACTCGAGTTCTGACTTTAAATAGTCCAAGGATCATGAAACACCGTAATTGTGCAATGTAGACAGATCCATTTCACATACTTAGTAATAAGTGTCTAATAAAACTATTGGCTTTGTAACAACACAACTTCTTATAAATATAACTATAAAGCCGTCCTCCTATTTTGGAGATTTCACTGTACTTACATAAATTCTATTTCAAACTGCAATAACTATATAAATGCAAAATCTAAATCAAAACTGTTAAGTTTGCTTTATAAAATACTCTCAATAGCTCACTCGTAAACTCTGTTAAATGTTCAATGTTACATAATCAATAGTTATTTATTAAATCTAATTTATAAAAATATCCATTTTTATTTATTTGTATCTCCCAATTTCTAGTCGTTAAGAAATTATATTTATTATTAAATTTAGACGAGTACAAAATTACACATTTTAATAGAAATGATGAATCGCCTCAAACTGTAATTTTCTAACCCATGAAGGGGTAAACTTTTAATATTTTAAACTTCATCTATTTAGATTTAGTTAAAAGTTTGAGATATGAAAGTTATAAGACTTCAGGTTGCAAAGATATAGGGACGAGCAAGGCTATAATGCAAGGAAAGTTAGTTCAGGGGTTTACGCATATTTTGTACTGCAGTGGGCGATAATGTAAACACAAGAGGGATGTAACAGCCTGACATGGGATCCATCTTTCACATAAAAAAAATCAATAAAATATTCTTGTCATAGGAAACTATTTTGTGAATTATAAAAATTTTCAATACTCAATGCTTTTAACCTCCTCGGATACTAAACGAACACTGATGCATCTATTCTTGTTTTCAAATTCCTCCCAGAGAATATTTACGCAGAGTATACCCAACTGCAATTAACTTTCCTTGCATTATAACCTTGGGGACGAGAAAATCTGATCAGTGCATCAGTGCAGAATGCAGAATGCTTGCTCTATTTCTGATCAGTAATTAGCAATTTAATTATTAATCATATGATGTAAAATATTTACATTTGGGGTTTTGCCAATTTCTTATATTAAACTAAAAGCTACAGAAATAACCACTTTGCAACTCTAAAACTTTATATAAATGGAAAAATATTTTAAAAAAAAATTTTTGAAATATTTTCTGAGAATTATTAGGATTTATAAACATGAATGAACTGAAAGCATTTATAAAATTGTAATTTTAATATTTAGTTAAAAAATTTAGCTTATTTTATTTAATTTCTTAAATTCACAAAAAAAAAGATGAGACTTTAATTGATTTTTCTGAAAAGAGATTTGGTATGCAACTGTTCTCTTGGGGACCCGAGATATCTCATATGTCTTTAATGAAATATTGTTGGTTCTGCACTTAAAATTGTATTAAATTTTTCAAGATTTAAGCCGGCACTCATTTGAAACCGTTCTTTTTGGGATTTGAGACGCGGCTTAAATCATAGAGAATAGAATATATATTAGAGAGGAATTTACTAGAAAAAAGTGTAAAACGGCCATTTTGTTGTACTGTTTCCTTACTGCAGGTGTACTTCACATATTTATGCTTTATAACCTTTTTGAGCCCTGGAATATCATTTATAGAAAATCTATAATTATTGTTAAAAAAATCAAATTATGAAATAGGCTGGTTTCATAATTGACCAATGATCATTTTACATAGACTCTATGCCTTCCACTTTACAAACGATGATTTTCCTTTATAACTATAAATCAAATGATGTTTTTTATTCACCTAATTCATTATAAAGTTTATTTAACAGTTTAAAAAATTCTAAATTGAAATGAATAGTCTAGGGAACATACTGTATTAATGTACTCTATTGCATATAATTTGTGAACATTTACATGATTTGTACACTTTGAACTCCCTTTCAGGCTGAAAGGGACTGAAAAAATTCATACCGAGAGATTCTTTAAATTCCCCTCTAATATATATTCTATTCTCTATGGCTTAAATTCATTAAATTCGGACACGGAATTGTTAACGTTCAAAGTTATTGTATTTGATTAGGTTTATTCTTAGCATACAGGGTTACCCACTTAAAGGATGAGACTGCAGAGACAACTGTATAGAATTTAGTCAATCTTTTCTTTAAAGGAATTGAGTCTTTGCCCCAAAATCTAATTGATATTGAGAACGAGATTAGAAAATAGGAGTTTGTGGTAAAGACTCAATTCCTTTATAGTTTCCTACAACTGTAAAATGGTTGTTTGACAATATCCTTATTTAAGGTAATATAATCGTTAGTTTTATAGAGGACGTCATTAAAGTCTCATCCATTGTGGGTAATCCTGTATCTGAAATAATATATTTTTTTATGAATTATAGTTGAAAAGTTTTTCCTCTTCATCACATTTTCGCAGATTTGGATGATTTGAATGAGAATATCATTTAATTCAATCATTTCATTTTATTGTAATTTTGGAGAAAAATATTAAAACTTCTTTTAAATCCTGGAGAAAGTGTTTTGGAAAAATTGTATCGTCTTCCTTCATCTCAGTTGTCATATCGTCTTCCTTCATCTCAGCTGCCATATCGTCTTCCTTCATCTCAGTTGCCATATCGTCTTCCTTCATCTCAGTTGCCATATCGTCTTCCTTCATCTCAGTTGCCATATCGTCTTCCTTCATCTCAGCTGCCATATCGTCTTCCTTCATCTCAGCTGCCATATCGAAGGAAACAGATTTTAAATTAAATAAAAAAATTAAGAAGATCAGCGATTTCAATTAAAAGAAAAATTGGGATGAAACTAACGGTATACCCAAGGTACTAATGCAAGGAAAGTTATTTCAGAGGTGTACTCATTTTTTTGTACTGCAGTGTACTGTCTTTGGGCGGAAAAGTAAACACAGACTGATGTCACAGCCTGACATGGAATCCATTCTGTTAGATGAAAGAATCCAAAGAATCTAAGGATAGTTATTTCAAAGCTGTACACATTTTTTGTACTGCAGTGTACTGTCTCTTGGCTGTAAACTAAACACAAGACGGATGTCACAGCTTGACATAGGATCCATCTTTACATAAAAAATCAATAAAATATTCTGGTCATAGGAATTCTTTATGTGAATTATTTAAATTAAATTCTTTTATCTCTTCGGATACTATTGGAATACAGATGCATCTATTATTGTTTACAAACACGCCCGGAGAGAACTGATTTTAATATGTATGCAGAGAATACGCAACAGGAATTAATTTTCCTTGTCTTATTACCTTGAAAGAATCTAAGTTTGAAATATCAAAGGTTTTACACCATGAGGTGGAAAAAAATATAGGTAAATAAATCAGAGTTTGTTACCAAGAATTTATTCCTTTAAGGTTAAATATGATTTGTTATTAAGTAAATCTATAGTCGAGTTTAAACTTCACACTAATACATAATTTCATAAATTCAAGTAGAAAAAAGGGTAGTCATTGTTTTTGTTGTCGATTACTTTGTTTGTCTTATCATGTTGGGAACTTTCCCTAAGGTATTTTTCAAAGTGTTAATTTCCCAAACGGCAACTTCCGGAATATACCGTTCTTTCTTAAAGTTATTTTATTTACGGTCGGCGTTAACGATTGTTTCATATAAAAATAGCGAGGGGGAAATTAAAAGACGACATTAAAGAAAAAAATCAAAACACTCTGTTCAATTTTTGTTTTGTGCGTTTTATTTTTCGTTCCTTTTTAAATAAACATTACTTAAGTTCGTTTACGATTTCAAAATTTTGCCATTTGTAAACCCGTTAATTTTGCCATTTGTTAAACCGTTAATTTTGCCATTTGTAAACCCGTTAATTTTGCAAAAATGTGCTCTGATCGTTAACAGAACATTGCCCAGCCCTACCTAAATGGCAATTTTCCTCAGATAGAGAGAAAAGCGTGAATTTACAGAAAAAGAGTCTTTTGCATAATTGGTCCTTAGTATTAGTATAGTAAGATAGACTTTCAAAAAAGTTTTGAAATTTGTCAAAAGATGAAAGGGGTTGAACGGAGTATAGGCGTGTAATATCAAGTGACCGGCCTATTCACAACTGTTCTCTTTACACCTTACTGTATTGCTTATCAGGATGTCAGACTTATCTTAAATTGTTGAGCACTTGATTTCCAATCCGTATCATATTTAAATAATATTAATATTTATATTCTAAAAGTTGCGAACAAATCTACAGAAAAACTAATATATATGATGCATACAAATTGATGTAATAAATATATATGCAAAACTCATGCAAAGGAAACAATAACTTCAGAAAAAAATGACATCTACGTCCTACCGGCAACACCTAGAAATATTCAAATTACTTTAAAAAGTTGTGAATTACTAAATTATGCATTTTTGGTTTAAATTTCTGCAGATTCCAATATTCCAAAACTCTGAAGCTTTAGATCAAACCATATACCGGCAAATAAATATTCCTGGAGTAATTTAAAGGGAGTGTTCGCGAATAATGAAAGGGGGTATAGGCTGAATGCGATAAAAAAGCGCTTTTGATCGCTAATAATCTTACTTCTATCTGTTGCGTCTATAAGGAGAAAATTGTTAAAGACGTCTCATACCGAATAACTTAGCGCCCATACAAATTGAGAAAATTGCAACATACGACTTAGACCGTAAAAAAAATCAATTTAATTTCAAACAAATCATTCAGATATTACAACCTAAAGTCATCGATTATCTTTCGCCACATTTGTATATAGCTTATATTTTATAATATTTTTTAATTAATTTGTTTTGAATTTGATTATTTCTCTTGTCGCTTGCGCAACTATCTAAGAATGCCGCGGACCACTCACATTTTTTGAAATCCGTTAAAACGTTTTCTAAACAAATAAAATGTTATAAAATATAAACTATATACAAATGTGACGAAAGATAATCGATGACTGTAGGTTGTACTATCTGAATGATTTCTTTGAAATTAAATTGATTTTTTACGGTCTTAGTTGTATGTTGCAATTTTCTGAATTTGTATGGCCGCTAAGTTATTCGTTATGAGACGTCTTTAACAATTTTCTCCTTATAGACGCAACAGATAGAAGTAAAATTAGTAGCGATCAAAAGCGCTTTTTAATCGCATTAAGCCTATACCCCCTTTCATTTTTCGTGAACACTCCCTTTATTGTGCAAACTTAATAATGTAATCCAAAATGATGAGCGAGAAACCCGAAACATTTGTCCCAAACCATGGTTGATGCATGCTTATCAATTTACGAGTTAACAAATATGAAAGAGCGTATGAACTGTGTGTGTGTTATGAGTTAAACTACTCCTCGTCGATCTCCTGGTTACCATGGATACTAGAGAGGACAGATCCACGGATATATTTCAGTTCAAATACAGATTCATCAAGGATGGGTTCTAGTTGCAGTACAATTAATCAAAGGTAACCAATAAAAAGGATGGGTCTAGTTGCAGTACAATTAATCAAAGGTAAAAATAAACAAAGATGGGTCTAGTTGCAGTACAATTAATCAAAGGTAAAAATAAACAAAGATGGGTCTAGTTGCAGTACAATTAATCAAAGGTAAAAAATAACAAAGATGGGTCTAGTTGCAGTACAATTAATCAAAGGTTAACAATATAACAAAAATGGGTCTAGATTAGAGCTGGGCAAAGTTCCGTGAACGAAACGGAGGTTTTCGAAAATAAACGAAAGAGTCCATTAACAAACGGCAAAAACCGTCATTTTGTAAATCGTCATGACGAAACGGATTAACCGTTAAAAAAAATTAACGGTTGAGAATGAAGACAAACGGATTTTTTTAAATAATGAATTTTTTTTTTCTGATAAAAATTGCATTAAACTTGTACAAAATTATCTTTTACATGTTCTGATATTTACAACTTTTTCGGCGTTTAAGCCGTAAATACTGTAAAAGAACGTTATCGGATGAGCAGTTAACAATTCCATTAACTGTTTTCGCCACTTCGCATCGTTAACGTTGCTAGTAAAATTGAGATCGTTAACTAAAATCGAAACGTTCTTACCATAAAAAACTAAAGGCTAACTGAGATTTTATTTTAAAAACGGGTGGAAATAACCGTTAACGAAACGAATTGAAAAAGTTAGAACTTGCCAAGCCCTATTCTAGATGCAGTACAATTAATCAAAGGTAAACAATAACAAAGATGGGTCTAATTGCAGTACAATTTATCAAAGGTCATCAAATAACAAATATGGGTCTAGTTGCAGTACAATTAATCAAAGGTAAACAATAAAGTCTGGTAATTCAATCTTTATAAATGATAAAACAAATTTAGTTTAAAAGTTTTTTATTTTTGTAAAAAAAATTTAAATCTTGAAAATCCGTATTTTTTTTATAAAATCTGAAAAAAAATTTTCTTTGTTTTTAAATGTTACAATGAGAAAATGTTTACAATTGAAATAGAAGAATAGAAGCGCCTATAAAAGCCTAGTAAGATTATAAGGGATAATCCATAATGTGCTCCAATTTCTTTGCATCTTGAATATTAACGGAAGTATGAGATGTTTAGATAGTATCACGTAGGTCTAAAACGAATTAGAAGTCGTTTCTTAAAACCCAAGTTCATTTTAAGTGACATTCTTTTCATAAATGGGACCGGGAATGCAAAAACAAAAACATGGATATTTAATTCAAACTTGTAAATCGGAAATTTTTATAAATGTTGAGTGACTTGAAATTACTTGAAGGGTAGGACACCTTGTATCTGAGTGTATATTCAGGGTGCAGAGAATGATAGACGAGCAGTCCTCCTGGAACCTGAACCCCTACCAGATGGAGGAGGAGACAGGGAAGCCGGAGAGGGAGATTAAACTACTTCTGCTCGGAGCCGGGGAGTCTGGCAAGTCCACGATCGTGAAGCAGATGAAGATAATCCACGACAACGGGTACACGATGCATGAGAAGGAGCAGTTCCGTCCTGTTGTCTTCTGTAACACGGTCCAGTCTCTTCTTACTATACTTAAGGCAACTTTATATACATTATACATACTGTTAGTAGAGAACGTCTAGTGTGAACTCAACATTATGAACTTAAAGGGACTGTAATTCCAAGCGACCCTCTATGCAAAGATTTACAACGGTACCCTTGAACCCTTATCTGATCAATAATGTGTAAGATGTTGTCGTTTTTTAATGTTTAATTATAAGAATTCCTACATGATTTCCTGCTAAAGAAATGCGCAAGTTTACAAAATTATAAACATTGATATCTAATTAATACTTGATAAGACAATGTTTTAAAGAATACTGTTCTCAATCGGGCACTGAAGGGTCACTTAAACTAAACTTACAGTCCTTTTAAATTGTTCTTAGTCGTTAAATATCACAAAAAAAACCTTTTTTTAACGTTTTATCCAGGATTCTTCCATCTTTTTCCCTATTTGAATTAGAAGATAAGATTTATATTCGATTTGGACGAAAAAGCGCTCTGAACTAATTTCTCTTGCTAAACTTTATAAAAAATATGAATTTGTCGTTTATTTTAAAACTTGAATCCGGAAAAAGGAAAAACTAATAAATCCATTTTCTAAATTTATTGAGTTATTTAATGGTTAATGTTAAGGTTAACCACGATTAAAGAAACTTTATATTGTCTTATCTATATGTAAATTTGGCTTGTCAGTCTGTTTGTCTGTCTGTCTGTCTGTTTGTATCCAATAAACGTCAAAACGGCTGAACCGATCGGGCCCAAATTTTTTGTGGGACATCACGTGACCACAGGGGAGGTTTATGAATGATAAAAATTTAAAAAATGTGTTTTAAAGGTTTTTAATTTTGTAAAAAATTTAAATTCTTGAAAATTCGCGATTTTTTTTTAAAAATCCGCAAAATTTTTTTCTTTTTTAAAATGTACACAAAAAGAACATGTTCACAATTTAAATAGAAGATGGGCGCGAAGCGCCCTAAAAGCCTAGAAATAAGAGTGCGAAGCGCCTTGAATTTCTAGTTTCTAAAAACTAGGGTTGCAATGCATTAAATTAAATAACTTGTCAGAGAAATTGTAAACCTCTGCACGGAAAACAAAAAGAAACATGCGTAACGCGTAAAATCAGAAATATGTCAAAATGCATTTTCCCTTGTCTACAAGGGATTAGAATGCGTAGATCTAAAAGAGAAGAACAGAAAACAGATGTATGATCAGTCAGAGAAAAAAATTCACTGCTCTTTTTAAAATTTTGTTTAAAAACATTTAATTTAAAAATAAATTGTAAATAAAATTAGCAAAGTAAAAATATCGCATAACAATGATACCCTTTAAACCATTATCTGAATCAAGAATATCATAATTTTTCTGGCTTAAAATTACGTACTTCCATATTTTTCTACGACGAATTTTTAAGCACTGAATTTACACTTCTTTTTAAAAATAATGGCCTTAAACTATTTTCTAAATCGCGCGCTATGTTTCTCTCCAAGCATGAGAAAATGGAAATTGTGTCTGCGATACAAATATGATCTGTATGATTGATCAAAATTTGAATAGGGGCACTTGAAATAATAACGTTTACAATCAAATTGAAAAATAAAAATGTATACAAAGTATTGAATGAATTTGTTAGGCTATGCCGGTTCTAAAGATAGGGTTCAAGAATCAAGTAATGGTTGAAAACACAAACAAGTTTATCCTCATGTCAGCTCTTATTACAGAGGATTTGTTTCCAAGGTAGTATTTGCTCTTTGGCTTTTTTCTCTATGACTATCAGCTTTATGATTATTGGCTCTTTAACTATCTGCTATATGATTCTTTGCTCTTTGCTATCAGATCTTTGACTATTTGCTCTATGACAATGTTCTGTATGACTATTTGCTCTTTGACTATTTTGATCTGTGACTATTTGATCTATGACTATTTGCTCTAAGACTATTTGGTCTATGACGATTTGCTCTATGACTATTTGATCTATGAATATTTGCTATATGTCTATTTAATCTATGACTATTTTTTACAATATATCTTTTTAATTTTCACAAAAGAGTAAAAATTAGCTTAATAGAGTTGCAGTATTTCTTTTATTTATTTTGACAATTATCTCATGACATTAAGCTCTATCACTTTTTATTCTTTGACTTTTTTGATCTGTGGCTATTTAAATATGATAATTTGTTCTATGACTATTTGCTTTCTGAACATTTTCTCTATGGCTTTTTGCTCTTTGACTATTTGCTCTTTGAATATTTACTATTTGACTATTTGCTTCCTGATTAATGCTGTATAGCTATTTTCTGTATTTTCTGTATACATATTTGTAGTAAATGCCGTACTCTTAAAAGTTCGTCCCAAACTGTATCAGTCCAGGTACTACCCATCCGCTATTAAAGTCAACTAGGACACAACCCACCTGGCTCCAAATGCCACACCGGGACACAAGCGTAGTTATCCAACAAGCTATTATCAACTCGGATACAACCCACCTGGCTCTAAATTCCACACAGGACACAAACGTAGCTAATAGCTATCCAACAAGCTATCAATTTAGTGCTCTAAATGCCACACAGGCTTATCAGGCTCTAAATGTCACACAGAGACACAGGCATAGCTTATCAATCTAGCTACTACTAAGGCTCTAAATGTCACACAGGGACACAAACAACAAGCAAAGCTATCAACAAGCTAATACTTCGGCTCTATATGCCCCACAAGGACAAAATCATAGCTATTAGCTATCAAAAAGCTATTACTTCAGCTCGAAATGCCACACCGGGACACAAGCGTAGCTATCAAAAAGATATTACTTCGCCTCTAAATGCTCCCACAAGGGCACAAGTGTAGCTAACAACAAGCTATTACTTTGGCTCTAAATGCCACACAGGGACACAAGCATTGGCTATCTATCAAACCCTTAATCGATCTTTTCCCTATACTGAGGTAAGCTCTCAACCCAAATACTCAACGGGGGTACAATAACTCTAGACTGTAATCAAAGCGGAGCTGAGTTCTGATTCAAACTAATTTGTATTTAAGGTTTATAGGTTACAAGTTGAATAAATAGACGTAATTACATTTCCTACGTCGTTATCTATAGTACATGAAAAAGGCAAATCATGTGACGTATTACAGCACAGTTAGAAATAGTGGCAATTTAAGATTTACGTTATATATGACATTATTAAGCTAATCATGCTACGCATTCATGTAGAGCGCAGTTCAAATGAATAAATAGGTTTTTTTTATGTACAAACATCAATCTTTAATAATGAACGTACTGCAAATTTACAGAATATTGTATTACACGATACTTATTACAAATGGATATTTATTACAAAGGGGGGGGGAGTGTGGTTGAATAATAGGGTTATTTTATCTCTTTTTCAATCATACTGCCTCTTCATTTCTCATGAATATTACATACCGTGGGAACCAAAACTCTGTGGAGAAAGATGACTCTAGTTATAATTGTAAATAGCCCAAAAAACATGAAATAGTGTATGTCATCTGTATGTTTAGAGAACTGGCTGAAGTGATGACTCAACTGTGGGAAGATCCTGACCTACAACATTGTTACTCTAGGTTTGTATTACAACTCAAGTGGATATAACAACTACTGAATGAGAAACGATTACAATAGATTTTTGCTTTAATTCTATTAAAAAATTGAAACTGATGATAGGTGTCAATATCGAAGTTGATTAGGCTTTATTATTTTTGCTTTGGGCAGTTGACTTCATCATGTAATGACGTGGATCTTCTCAGGGGTTTCATTTGAAAAGATGTTTTGATATTTACAAAACTGTTAATTATTTACAATTTGTCCAGGAATTCCGAATATCAACTGAACGACTCTGCATCATACTTTCTGGATAATCTTCATCGATTATCCACTGAGTTCTATCTACCTACAGATCAGGTTTAGATCAGGTTTAGCTCAGGGTTATATCAGGTTCAAATCTGGGTTCGATTAGTGTTAGATCAGGTTTAGATCAGGGTTTAGATCAGGTTTAGATCAGGTTTAGATCAGGTTTAGATTAGGGTTAGATCAGGTTTAGATCAGGTTTAGATCAGGTTTAGATCAGGGTTAGATCAGGTTTACATCTGGGTTAGATCAGGTTGGTTTGTATCCTTAAGATTTATATATATACATTTAAATACAATATAATAGTTCTAAATGTCGTAAGAAAACTAACTTACTGTTGACGTCATGCCAAGGTTTTATTTCTTTATTGTTTTAGGATATTTTACGAACTCGTGTGAAGACGACTGGAATTGTAGAAATCCATTTTCATTACAAGAATCTGCTCTTTCGAATGTTTGATGCCGGGGGTCAGCGCTCAGAGAGAAAAAAATGGATTCATTGCTTCGACCAAGTCCACGCAATCATTTTCTGTGTAGGTTAGAATTTACGCAATATTTTTCTGGGAGGGCTACGCAATTTTATCAGGCGTATGTTAGAGTTTACATAGTGGTATTCAGGGAATGTTAGACTTTACACAACAATACTCTGCAAAGGTTAGAGTTTCCTCTATGATATTTGACGTAGAATAGAATTTACGCGATACTATTTTGGGAAGGTTAAAGTTTACGCAATAATATTATGCGTAGGTTAGATTTTGTGCAATAGTTTGAAAGAATTGTTAGATATTACGCATTAATATTCATCGTCGCGTAGGTTCGATTTTACGCAATAATATTCTGGGAAGGTTAGAGTTTACACAACAATATTCTGCAAAGCTTAGACTTTACGCAATAATAATAGGCATGTAAGTTACAGTTTACACAATAATAATAGGGGTGTAGGTTACAGTTTACACAATAATAATTGGCGTGTAGGTTACAGTTTACGCAATAATAATAGGCGTGTAGGTTACAGTTTACGCAATAAAGTTTACGCAATAAAAATAATAGGCGTGTAGGTTACAGTTTACGCAATAATAATAGGCGTGTAGGTTACAGTTTACGCAATAATAATAGGCGTGTAGGTTACAGTTTACGCAATAATTTTAGGCGTGTAAGTTACAGTTTACACAATAATAATAAGCGTGTAAGTTACAGTTTACACAATAACAATAAGCGTGTAGGTTATAGTTTACACAATAATAATAGCATGAGGCGTGTAGGTTACAGTTTACGCAATAATAATAGGCGTGTAGGTTACAGTTTACGCAATAATAATAGGCGTGTAGGTTACAGTTTACGCAATAATAATAGGCGTGTAAGTAACAGTTTACGCAATAATAATAGGCGTGTAAGTTACAGTTTACACAATAACAATAAGCGTGTAGGTTATAGTTTACACAATAATAATAGGCATGTAGGTTATAGTTTATACAATAACAATAAGCGTGTAGGTTATAGTTTACACAATAACAATAGGCATGTAGGTTATAGTTTACACAATAATAATATACTTGTATGTTACAGTTTACGCACTAATAATAGGCGTGTAAGTTATAGTTTACACAATAACAATAGGCATGTAAGTTTCAGTTTACACAATAATAATAGGCATGTAGGTTACAGTTTACGCAATAATAATAGACGTGTAGGTGTCAGTTTACGCAATAATAATAGACTTGTATGTTACAGTTTACGCAATAATAATAGGCGTGTAGGTTACAGTTTACGCAATAATAATATACATGTAGGTTACAGTTTACGCAATAATAATATACATGTAGGTTACAGTTTACGCAATAATAATAGACGTGTAGGTTACAGTTTACGCAATAATAATAGGCGTGTAAGTAACAGTTTACGCAATAATAATAGGCGTGTAAGTAACAGTTTACGCAATAATAATAGGCGATTAAGTTACAGTTTACGCAAGGTTTTGATTATTTGGCTATTAACAGTGGATTTTCCACACACAAACCTCTGATCACTCACAACTAACTCTGATTTTTTAAGTCTTATTTAATGTATATCATTGTTAATTCTAATTCTCGGGCTATTTTTATAGATTAAAATAATTTCATGGATTAAAATATTTCAGTAAAATAAAATATTTTAATGGATTTAAATATTTTCTTTATTTTGTCTCACTTTCTCTATAATTCAGGATCTCCTAACTGATATTTGTTATTGATGTTTTATTCAAGTATCATTTCTCTGAAAAATATTAATATAGCTTCTTTATAAAATACGATAGAATATTGAGTTATCATAAAGTTATTCTTTATACATTACAAAACAAATAATTAATAAATACTTATTTTTCACGAATTTATTTCATACTTTTATATGTTCCTACTTATCAGGGTGATTTGTAAAAATATCAAATATTGTAAAGGAACGCAAGTATAAGCCACAAACTCAAATTTTCTAATCCAAATTTCTTTCCAACCTGACGGTGTAAACCTTTGATATTTCAAACCTGGACCAATTAATTTAAAGTTTGAAATATCAGAGGTCTACGACGTAGAGGTTGCGAAGATGGAGGGATAAGAAAATCAGAGTTTGTGGCAAAGACTCAATTCCGTTTTTTCTAAAAATCTAGTTTTTTTTTCTCTTTCTTTATCTTCAAAATTTAATTTAAATTTAAATTTAAAAATTTAATTATTGAGTATATTATGTTGTAGCAATGTCTGAGTACGACCTGGTGTTGGAGGAAGATCAGCGTGTGAATAGAATGCATGAATCAATGAAACTCTTTAACTCTATCTGTAACAATCGATGGTTTGAAAAAGCATCCATGATTCTTTTTCTTAATAAGAAGGTAAATGGAACTTTTCTGAGGAGGGGGGATACAAATTTTATGTGTGGGGTTAAGGAGGGGGGGGGGGGCAGAAAATTATTTTTTATGATATAAATATTTGTCTGTAGTTATTGGTGTCTGTTTGTCTGTTTTGCCCCCCATACCAGAATTTTTGTGTAATTCATCCAATGGTACTTTTTATCCACTGTGACTGTAGTTCCTAAACTGCAGGTCCCTTATAAATAAGTTCTGGTTTTTCTTGATTGATAGTACAGTATGATTTCCTTTCTGCCTTTCCTTACCAGGGGTCTCTCTCCGTCATTAGGACGGACCTTGGTCATAAAAGCAGCCGCCAGCGTACTTAGGACAGAAGGACCGGCAATTATTTTGTTTGTTTGTTTGTTTACAGTAAAACGTTTAGTAGAGATGTCCTACGAGGTCTCCCACGAAACAAGACCACTTTCTAGTCGTCAAACTGTCATGTTTGGTGGGACACCCTGTACATCACAGTAGAATTTAGAACTAAATGTACGGCATTAAGCTGTTTGTGTAATTACATAGAATTGTACATAAATACCTTTTATGTTTTATACTTTTTTATAAATTTTTGATCATATATTTTTAAAGGACATAAGGATATATTACAGACAAAACGCAAGAAAATAGAAAAGTTTATAGAAAATATGAAAGATGGCTGAGTGCGAAATAGCTTATGCCTGTAACCAGCCTAGATTTACACTTTCAAAAAGAAACAGGAAATAATACTCAAACCAAAAAGCGATTGAATTGAAATAGAAAAAACTGAACTCATATCACCCAAATTGGTTAGTCCGGGGTGAACGAGTTTACACAATNCCCATGAATACGACTGCGTAGAAGTATACTACTTGATATTCTACCTCGGCTAGTATAAACAGAATCCCATGAATACGACTGCGTAGAAGTATACTACTTGATATTCTACCTCGGCTAGTATAAACAGAATCCCATGAATACGACTGCGTAGAACGATACTACTTGATATTCTACCTCGGCTAGTATAAACAGAATCCCATGAATACGACTGCGTAGAAGTATACTACTTGATATTCTACCTCGGCTAGTATAAACAGAATCCCATGAATACGACTGCGTAGAACGATACTACTTGATATTCTACCTCGGCTAGTATAAACAGAATCCCATGAATACGACTGCGTAGAAGTATACTACTTGATATTCTACCTCGGCTAGTATAAACAGAATCCCATGAATACGACTGCGTAGAACGATACTACTTGATATTCTACCTCGGCTAGTATAAACAGAATCCCATGAATACGACTGCGTAGAAGTATACTACTTGATATTCTACCTCGGCTAGTATAAACAGAATCCCATGAATACGACTGCGTAGAACGATACTACTTGATATTCTACCTCGGCTAGTATAAACAGAATCCCATGAATACGACTGCGTAGAAGTATACTACTTGATATTCTACCTCGGCTAGTATAAACAGAATCCCATGAATACGACTGCCTAGAAGTATACTTCTTAATATTCTACCAGGGCTAGTATAAACAGAATCCCGTGAATAAGACTGCGTAGAACTATACTACTTGATAATCTAGGATTTGTTTGAGGAGAAGATCAAGGTGAGCCCCCTGACTGTATGTTTTCCAACCTATACTGGAGGAAACTCATTCCAAGATTCAGCAGAGTTTATTCATCTCAAGTTTCAACAGTTAAACAGAAACTGTAAGAATTAGTTTTTATACGTGGTAATTAATACACAAATCCTAACTGCCCTTAAAGGGACTGTAAGCGTAATTTCAAGAGACCATGCATGAAAATTTGACAATGCCCGATTCACAACAGTAGCCTTAAAAGCTTTGCCTGATTTAGTATGACTTATAAATCAATGTTTATAACTGATTATTTTCATTTTTGGTTTCGCTACAAAAGTGACAATTGCGCATTTCTACTGCAGGAACTTATGCAGGAATTTTTGCATGGAGGGTCACTTTAAAATATGCTTACAGCCTCTTTAAATATCACGATGATTTAAAAATTTTTTAAAATATTTTTTAAAAATCTTTAAATTTAAAGTTTACTTTAACTAAACTAATTAATATTTAATCTTTTGTTAAATGAATTCAAATATCAAAATTTTAGAATTTCTAGAATTAAAAAAAAAAATTTAAGAGTAAACCTAAACCTTTTTCGATGATCTTATAGTTAATTTTTTGGAGAAAAAAACTGTAGAAAAGATTTCAGAGTCTATTGAATATAAGTCACTAAGTTTTCATTGTAACTTTTTTTCTGCTAAAATGTTTGTTTTGATAATATTGTTTGCAGGCGCCCACCGTTCTTTGTACTCTCACTTCACCTGTGGAACGGATACTAACAACGTCAAGTTCGTCTTCGACGCGGTCACAGATATCTTGATTAAGAAGAACATGCATGAATGTGGTCTCTGACCTTCTGTACGCATATAGTTGTTACTTTGATCTTCTGTACGCATATAGTTGTTACTTTGATCTTGTGTGCGGATGTAGCTTTACTTTAATCTTCTGTACGCAAATAGTTGTTACGTTGATCTTCAGTACGCAAAAAGTTTTTACTTTGATCTTCTGTGCGGATATGGTTTTTTCTTTGATCTTCTGTACGCACATAGTTGTTACTCTGCAAACCTTTTGTACGCATATCAAGGGTTAACTACAAAGGGAGCTCTTGAAATATAACGAACTGAGGTAAATAATGTTATCTAGGCAAACTGTGTCTAAGCAAAATGTTAACTAGGCGAACATGTAGTAGATGAAAGTGTATACTATCGACGAGAGTGTACTAGACGAAAGTGTACTAAGCGAAATGTTACTGAGCCGGATTATGTCTTCGATGGATTTATTGAATAATTTGCCAAAGAAAGAAACCAGTTCACAGATGCAAGTACCAGGAACCTTCAATTTAAAGAAAAATATTTCCAGAATTCTCTAAACTCTCATCATTTCTGGATAATCCTGTAGTTGTTTGATATTAAGATTTTCTTTGTTATTCTGCAGACCAATAAACCTACTAGAATTACAAATTGTTAATAAAAAATTAATGGAAATCCAAAAAACAATTACATCCATTTTTCCAATGCAACAGAACCAAAAATAAAAATGTTATTTCGATCAAAATATGAAATAATCTGAAACCAAACTTAACTCTCTAAACATGATTTAGAAACAAAAAATAATTCTTCAGATTTTAAACATTAAATCTTCCTTTTCACAGCTTTAAAAACCGTAGTCAATGCAATTTACAAACACTTTAATTGAAACCCGGAGCCAAACAATTTTGTAAATCTTGAATAGATGGGGTTGAATACAAATTTTGTTTTCTTAACCGCAGGGTTTTTCTCGAACATTTAAATAACAATGAAAATCTAAAAAGTCAGAAATTACTTTTAACCCTTGGTATGGCATTGAAGAGTTTTTTATTTTAGTGACTGGAGAAATAATTTCAACTGACTCTATGTGACATTTCCGTTTACTTGTTTTCTTTATCAAAGTACCTTGCAGATTTATATACAGCGGAAACAACAAACGAAATTCATCAGTTTTCAGGATTGTAAATTACGAAATCTTTCTCATTATTTCTCAGAGAAAGGTTTATGGGTACCGTTGTGAATAAGACAAGCCATTCTCTAAATGGTATTTTCTACAATTTTCTCTTTAAATTACGTCTACACTCTACGGTCCCGTTACTGGGGGAAAATATAAAGTTATAAATTACATACTTTTTAAAACTAACTTATAGCAATATTTTTTAATCATCTGTCAAATCAAAATCTCCGTCCGATTCCTCCAAGCTTCCTCAAATTTGCCTTTTATGTAAAAAACTGTTTTCATAAATTATAAGGAAATATAAATTCACAAAAAAGTTACTTAAGTATATTTTAGCCAGGGGGCGGAAACGTCATGTATGTGTTTCTGTACCAAAAGAGTGTGTGTAAGTAATACCGAACCGAAGGCGTGTACTGTACAGTACATAAGAATCTCGGTATTTGTACAGTCTAGGAGAGTACATTTGTTTATTGGTAATTGTTTACTTAAAAATAAGTTTAATATACATGTAATATATTATTTACATATTTAAGTCAACTCTATAAGCCAAATTTGCATGCAAGAATTTAATTTGATTAAAGTTTACAATAAACTACTCGTTATTCAAGCTTATAATTATAATTGACGACATTGTTCTGCAATTTCCTTGATTAAAGTCATGTTGTGTGTCTGTACCAAAAGAATGTGCGTTTGTAATACCGAACTCGTCTGCAAGGCAGTGCAACTGGGTTTCTCATGCCAGACCAGCTTCATTGCCCTTCCTTTTTTCCTATTCCCTGATTTTAACTGTGTTTTAATTATAAATTCTGACAGTATTAAATGATAAAATAAAAAACCTACAGTATTTATTCTCAACTACATCAATACTCATACAGCACACATTAATAATGAGGTAGAAAACAGATTTATTTGAAGAACAGGAGGATTATTCAGCAATATTTTCTTCAGATTTATCGCTCAGAGCTATTTTAGTTTCCTCAATCACACTACCAGACTTATATCCGCCAACTGCATTTCCGGGATTAAATCCTCCGCCTCCTCCTACGTTTCCTGGATTGTATCCTCCGCCACCTCCCATATTTCCTGGATTGTATCCTCCACCGCCTCCCATATTTCCTGGATTGTATCCTCCGCCACCTCCCATATTTCCTGGATTGTATCCTCCGTCGCCTCCCATATTTCCTGGATTGTAACCTCCGCCTCCCATATTTCCTGGATTGTATCCTCCACCGCCTCCCACATTTCCTGGATTGTATCCTCCGATTATTTCATCTCCTACCACAACTCCTGGATTGTATCCGCCTCCATTGCCATAACCGGGATTGTATCCACCACCTCCTCCTACATTTCCAGGATTGTATCCGTCTCCTCCTACATATCCAGGATTGTATCCGCCCCCGCCGACATTTCCGGGATTGTATCCGCCCCCTCCAACATTACCAGGGTTGTATCCGCCCCCTCCAACATTGCCTGGATTATATCCGCCTCCTCCAATTATCTGTCCTGGGTTGTATCCTTCATCTCCAACAACAGTTTCCTGATCATATCCTGGATTATATCCTTGTCCACCGGTATAACTAGAGTTGTTATAAAATGTATCCTCCGGGTAGTAGTTGGAACATTGTCCGGAGTTGCAGGTATTGAACCCACCCTGAGCTCTGAAACTATCACACTGATTGCACATGTTGGAGCTGGAGCAGCCGGGCTGGCAGACCTGCTTGGGAACAACTCGACACTTCTGACTTGGTTGATTTGTGCATTCGGACCTGGATAGTTTAAGTTAGATTAGTTCAAGTTAAACATATTTGTCACGTTGATCTAATAAAAAAACTTACTCTGGGATGGTTCTGCAAAGTTGAACGTTTCTACTTCTATCACAGACCACCTTGTTCAGTATGTAAGACCTAAACAGGCAGTTATATCAATCAAGCATTACATTTTTTTAAGAGGAATTTTGTTCTAAATTTCTTACTTTTTGACTGGTTTCTTGCTACACTCAACATCTGCCATTACGTTTTGGCAGAAGGTCCCCATTTCAAATCTTCTCTCACATTTGGTTCTGTAGAAACTAACAGTCTCATTCTTCTTTTCTACAACCTTTATAAAACCGGATTAGAAAATTAGAGTTTGAGACATATAATCAGTTTCTTTGCAACAACTCTTATGTTATACTGGAAAAGCGCTTATTTTATTAGTATATATCTTATTGTTATACTGCAAAAACAACTGATAAATAATAAACCTAAACATTTATAATAGTTTTGTATGCAGGGTGTACACAATAAAGTTAATTTTGACAGAAAATTATCTGTTGTGGCCAACACAAAAACAACATTGCATGGCAAGATTGCCAAAAAACCAGAATTTAAGATAAAAATGCATCAGAAGGTATAGTGACGACAGAAAAGTGTTTAGTTTTCCAGAGACCATTGAATTAGGGATATAGATACCATAGAAGATTCTAGTACCCAGATCAGAAGGGGTAAAATATGCTATAAATGCTGCGGACGGTTCAACAGAGACAGAAACGTTCAAGAAAGTTTGAGGAATTGCCTTCATCATGGCGAACAGGTTTCATGAAAAGGGGAAGTAGTTAAACCACGTAGACTAAATTGTAGTTGAACTACGTAGACTAAATTTAGTTGAACGACTTTGACTAAATTTTAGTTGAACTACGTAGACTAATTTACAGTTGAACTTCATAGACTAAATTGTAGTTAAAATACGTAGACTAAATTGTAGTTAAACGACGTAGACTAATTTACAGTTGAACCACGTAGACTAAATTGAACTGCGGCGTGGTACGGGGTTCAACTACTTCTCGTCATTCATTAAATCTGGTCTCAGGTAAGAATCAGTGTGAGTGGTTCGTCAATCCTCGTTAATTATCGATACTTTGACGTAACAAAAAGAACGCCAACGAACTATTCATGAATCTCAGATTAGTTTCAACGTTAAAGAGAACCAAATGTTGACTTATATTTAAAATAACCTAGCTCGGTTTTAATAAATACAAGTAAACTTAAATATGTGATTACAACGCTTAGAAGACTAACTTAAGGACTTAACCTAAAGGTATTGAGTCTTTTTAACAATCTCTGATTTCTAATCTATGTATCTTTGCAACCCAATGTCGGAGAACTATAAGTTCTAGTAGATCAAATAATCTAAGTTTGAATTATCAACGGTTTACACCACCAGGTTACAAAGATATAGAAATTAGAAAATTTTTATTTTGTTGCGAAGACTGAATTCCTTAAAAAGCTAAACCAAAAGTTGTATCCTTTGATAAGTTCTACTCACCACCGAGTACTGAGGGATCTTCAGGGGAACACATTCCTTTTCCATAACTTCGTTGCATTTTTTAGTTAATCTGGTCACATTCTTCAAATCATTTTCAAGCCTGCAGTTCGGGATAATGGTCTCCACATCCTTACATTCACTTTTCATCTGGGTTACTGGGATTGTGAAGTTTCTAAACAAAATAACATTTTGTAATTTCATGTCAATATTTAGTTATTTTCATTCCAGAACTTTTTTATTTCCACGTCAAAGTTTTGTTATTTCCATTCGAAAATTTGTTATTTCCATGTCAAAGTTTTTATTTCCATTCCAAAATTTAGCTATTTCCATGTCAAAGTTTTGTTATTTCCAGTCCAAAATTTAGCTATTTCCATTCCAAAACTTTGTTATTTCCATGTCAAAGTTATTTCCATTCCAAAACTCAGCTATTTCCAGTCCAAAATTTAGCAATTTCCATTCCAAAAATAAGTTATTTCCATGTTAAAGTTTGGTTATTTTCCTGTCAAATTTAGAGAAACTAGCTTTTGGGCCGATAGTCTTTTTATAGGGACTATCAATTTGTTAATGAAAAAAGGGGCAATTCTTTTTAACTTACGGTGGTTTAAATTTACTGCCATACTGGTTGTATACCTAAAGACTGTATTGTATACCTGGAGACTGTATTGTATATGTATACCTGGAGACTGTATTGTATACCTGGAGACTGTATTGTATACCTGGAGACTGTATTGTATACCTGGAGACTGTATTGTATACCTGGAGACTGTATTGCATACCTGGAGACTGTATTGTGTACCTGGAGATTGTATTGTATACCCTGGAGACTGTATTGTATACCCCTGGAGACTGTATTGTATACCCTGGAGACTGTATTGTATACCTGGAGACTGTATTGTATACCTGGAGACTATATTGCATACCTGGAGACTGTATTGTGTACCTGGAGATTGTATAGTATACCTGGTGGCTCTATTGTATACCCTGGAGACTGTATTGTATACCTGGAGATTGTATTGTATACCTGGAGACTGTATTGTATACCTGGAGACTGTATTGTATACCTGGAGATTGTATTGTATACCTGGTGACTGGTATTCTCTGAGGTATTCTTCTGCAAACTTGCTGAGGGTTGTTGGAACAGCATTGCTGGTTTGGATAGTTACAATATCCAAGGTTACCGTAGCATACAGGAACCTGGACCTGCTGGCAGTTCTGGGGATAGCCTCGATTACCCTGAGAGCACAGCGTGGTTGTGTTGTAATCAACCCTGGAGCAAACATCTCCTCCATCCATACAACCTGGAGACAAAACATATGTTCAATATGGTTCAAAGTAGGATTTTAAACTAAAAGTCGTTTCTTCTTAGTCTTCCTCAGTTTTTTCGTCAACATCTGTTAACGGAAACATGGTTCAAATACTTACATTATTCAAAATCGGTTATTAGAATTAGAATAAGTTACTCATTCATTCTTTTAATACAAAAATAAAAAGTATATTTTAAAATTACTTGAATTATTTAAGTTTTGAGTGAAATACGTCAGCTCTGGAATTTCTGACAATTTTATCATAACAGACACGTACAATATTTTATTCGAAATTCGTGGCGATCGATTTTAAATTCAATTCTGATTCACCCATTACCCTCCTTAATTTTTCACAATCAGAAACACAGCGGAATGTAGTGCCATACATTACACTAATTTTACTCTTTACTTCTGTAAGGTTTATATGTACAACATTGAAGTTTTTATGTAGATTGTACTGATTAAAGTACCTGAGGGGGAGCAAGACCTTGATGAGCAGGAGGGTTGATTAACGTACTGGCAGTCAGTTATGTACTGTAGAACATATTCAGTTCTTGTATCAACCTAAACAATAATAAAACAGTATTCTAACCTGATAAGGAAATGTTTAAGCTCCGAACTCACCCTATACTCCGTGTAAGGTATCTGGTTGCAAATATTCTGAGTTCTAGTTGTATTCTCACAAACTTGTCTAGGTTCATTAATCTCCTCGGTCATGTTTACCATGGTGAAGTTACATCTCTTCACTGTCTCACACTTCTCCTCGTCCTTGTCGTCAAGCTTCTCCAACCTCTGGTTCTCCCACATGATCAGCTTCTGTTCTCTTTCCGGGATCATGGCACAGACAGTTTTGTTATACTGCATGCACTCACGTCGGGGGATAGTTCTACAGACATCATCATACACAACCTTAATATCATAATAGGTGTATTGGGTCGACAGATTAAATAAAAACTCGGCGTAATTTTTATTAAGGCTTAATCAAGGCAGCAATCCCTTTTTATCAAAATAATTAAATAAACAATTTTCCAAATTTGTTTCAAGATTTTCAAACCTCGGTTCTTCTTTCCTTGACGACCCTACAGTCCTTCAAGGGTATGTTCATGCAAACAGTTTTCCCTCTCATGTTGCAGGACGGTTCATTAGTATTCTCACATTCCCTTTCATAGTAGGTATAGCACTGCTGACCCCCCATACAACATCCTTCATTGGACATTCCGCAGCAGGTGTCCATTAAACCACATCCAGGCTCGGAGACAGGAGGACGGAATCCTGGGTAGTCAGGTTCGGAGTAAGCCATATACTGACTGTCTGCACCTGCTTCCGGAATTGCTTCCGGAATTGCCTCCGGAAGTGCCTCTGGGAGTGCCTCCGGATCTGCATTTCCTTGTACACATTGTTGAAGAATCAAACCAACCTAAAATGTATTTAGATTATGCACGGTAAATTCTGTATTGTTTAATTTCTGTATCGTTCAGAAAACTTTAAAATTTACATTATTCAGATTATAATTATAAATACATACAGATATGAAAACCTTTAAATATGTCGACATGAGGGTTGAACATAGACTTTTGTACTTAAATAAGTTTTTAACATTTTTAGGAAGAAGACTGAGTAACCTTGTAAAGTCGTCTTTGAAGTCTGATAATATGTGGGTAACCAAGTATATATATATTTGCGATGTGCAGGATTGTAAACAAATTGACTCTTTGCCACAATTTTTTATCCTTTATCTCTGTGAAGCAATTGCTTTCACCTTAGATATTTTAAACTATGAATTATGATAGATAAAATAAGAAGATGGGGACGAGAGGATTTTGATCAATTGCAAATTTTCTGAATTTAATTTCGCGCATTTTCTCCTTTACTACTCATCTGATCTGTTTAAGATTTTAAGGTGTGATCATCTTCTATTTATACGTTATATTGTTACTCTATCTGTGAGAATCCTCTCTATGTATACAATATAAAACAATAACAAAAAAAGTTCGCGGATTTAATAGTTTTTTTTCTCGCATTTTAAAAAATTAACAAAAACTCTGAAACTTTTGAACACATATTTTTGTGATTTTGAGCATCCATAAACCTTCCTTGCGGTCATGTAAGGTCCCACACAAAATTTGGGCCCGATCGGTTCAGCCGTTTTGACGTTTATTGGACATACAAACAAAAAGGTTCGCGGATGTTTTAAAAAAAATTCGTGAATTTTCAAAATTTAATGAAAATCGAATTTTGTTGGAGGCTAAATTTTGAAATTTTGATCTACCCCAGAAACCTTCCCTGGGGTCCCACACAAAATTTAGGCCCGATCGGTTTTATTCCATAAAAACGGACAGACAAACAGAGTATTTATATATATATATTATACTAAGCTTTCAGCGTGCTTTGCACCCATCTCATATTTCAATTGAACATTTTCTCTTTTATACATTATAAAACAAAAACAAAAAAAGTTTTGGGATTTTATAAAAAAAATCGTGGATTTTGAAAATTTAATTAAAAACGAATTTTGTTGAAGGCAAATTTTTTTAATTTGATCATCCATAAACCTTCCCTGAGGTCATGTGAGGTCCCATACAAAATTTGGACCCGATCGGATTATTCGTTTGACGTTTATTGGATATTTGATGAGCTAAATTATATAAATAAAGTAACATTACAAACTTCTTTATATTTATGCCAACTAAGCATATTTCCAAACCTTTCTATGAAACAGGGTTTCAACTTCAAGTTTTAAATCTTTTTTTAACATATAATCTTAAATTCTAATTCTAACAAATTTATAAAAGAAATAAGTTTCTGGTTTACAGTAAATAAAGTTTAAGAACTGCACTCACATGTTTTTATTATTGATACTTAAGCAGACTTTTTTTGTGGGAGAAATGTCTAAACACTTGAAGTAAGTTCAGCAATGTTTGTTCAAAGAAAAGTAAGTTATTGTTTTTACCAGTAAAGAGAAAAGGAACCTCATGGTTCCAGGACGGATATCCGGGATCTACTACTCCGAACTAAACATAGAAAAGAACCTTGTTTCTCCTCCCCCTACTGAGACTAGTATAAACAAACAAAGCACAGGAGGAATTAAAAACATTTATAAAAAAAATTAAATAATTAAACGTGATTTTTATTTCATTTTTTTTATTAAGATAGAATATGAAAAAAAAATTTGGGGAGTTTTTTTTTCGTTAAAAAACTGTGATAAAATCCCTTAAAGAGTCCCGCTATTCCTAAAAATATACACACATGTGTATCTGTGTCAAACTCTCAAATATCCGTGCAATTTTTAAACAAGATTCTTACAGGAGGGGTTTGTATTCTTACCTTATGCCTCATATTCACTCATCCAACCTTATCCTCATTTTCACTCATCCAACCGTATCCTCATATTATCTCATCTAACCTTATCCTCATATTCTCTCATCCAACCTTATTCCTCATATTCTCTCATCCATTCTTATTCCTCATATTCTCTCATCCATTCTTATTCCTCATATTCTCTCATCCAACCTTATTCCTCTTATCCTTCATCCAACCTTATTCCTAATTTTCTCTCATTCAACCTTATTCCTTATATTCTCTCATCCAATCTTATTCCTCATATTCTCTCATCCAACCTTCTCTCATCCAACCTTATTCTTCCTATTTTTCATCCAACCTTATTCCTCACATTCTCTAATCCAACCTTATTCCTCATGTTCTCTTATCCAACATTATTCCTCCAATTTTCTCATCTAACCTTATTTCTCCTAATTTTCTCTCTCCTTTATCCTAATTCTTCTCCTTTATCCTAATTCTTCTCCTTTATCCTAATTATTCTCCTTTATCCTAATTCTTCTCCTTTATCCAAATTCTTCTATTTCTCTCATTCATCTTTATTCCTTTATTTTGCATACCATTCCTTTATATCATCCAACCTTATTTCTTTATATCATCCAACCTTATTTTTTATTGTTCAACCTTATTTCTTTATATCATCCAACCTTATTTCTTTATATCATCCAACCTTATTTCTTTATATCATCCAACCTTATTTCTTTATACCGTCCAACCTTATTTCTTTATATCATCCAACCTTATTTCATTGTATCATCCACCCTTATTTCTTTATACCGTCCAACCTTATTTCTTTATACCGTCCAACCTTATCTAATCCTCTATTTGTTTTCTCATCCTCTATGTGTTCCTTATTTTGATCTCTCTTTGTCTTGCATCTACTGATTCTAAACCCAGACTAACTTCTCACTCTATTCCTCTACTCTACCCTAGCAACAACCTAGGGCCATAATTAATATATTTTAGAAACTTTATGAAAAAATGCAAACATTTACAATAACATTTGATGACAAATTGTAAATAAATGTACGTGTATAGAATAACTAAATGGTAACTTTAGGTGCAAAACTAACAATAAGAAAACTTCCATCAAATCTTTTGATTAAAACCATCAAATATTTAAGAAACCAATCAAATATATGTAAATGGAAACCAAACAATATTCAAGTGGAAACCGTTTGGATTAAGATCGGATTCACATTTCAAAAGACTAGCTGTCTATGGAATAGGGCTTTCCGATAGAATAGAAAATAATGGAGTAAGAGGAAACAACGATAAAAATGAATAAGAAAAGCTGTATTTGTACTCAAGGGATTGAATTGAGTACTCTTAGAAGTTGGATTAAGCACAAAAAAGGAATTGGATCAAGGGATGTCAAAAATTGCCGAGTACTCTTAGGGATTAGATTGAGAACTCCCAGGGATTAAATCAAGTATTCCCAGGGATTAAATTAAGTAATCCCAAGGATTGAATTAAGTAATCCCAGGGATTTAATCAAGTACTCCCAGGGATTGAATCAAGTACTCCCAGGGATTGAATCAAGTACTCCCAGGGATTGAATCAAGTACTACCAGGGATTAAATCAAGTACTCCCAGGGATTAAATCAAGTGCTCCCAGGGATTTAATCAATTACTCCCAAGGATTGGATCATATGGATTGTATACAGGTATAGTGCTAGCCCCGGAGTATACTGAGTTTGATGGTATAAAGTTGGGACATTGCTGCTGATTAGAACATGCGCTGAATCCACCCTGAGTCACGAACTGAGTACATTCCCCACATCTAAAAATAAAAAAAAAATTTAAAGGGACTGTAAGCGATATTTCAAGTGACCCTCCATACAAAGATGGAGATGCCCGATTTACGATAATACTTTTGAAACCTTTGTTTTATTAATAATGGGGAAGATATCGTTGTTTTTAGGTTTAAAAGTGTTTAATTCTTGTCATTCCTAATTGCTTTCCTCCAGTAGAAGTGTGCAAGTCACTTTTGTATGAAGAGAGACCGCAATTGAAAATTTATTCATGCTTGATCAGATCGAGTTTTTACGGGTACCGTTGTGAATTGGGCATTGTCACTTTTTGGCAAAATTTTACTTACATTGCACAATGTGCAAGGCAAAGCACAATACAAAGAATGAAGAAATACTATTCAATAAATGTAAGAAACAATGTCAGCATTTTTAGAATTAACTTGCGGGCGTAACTATATGTGTGAGAAAACGCTAATCTACGACGAAATCCCTGAAATTTACATCCCAAGTAAACATGCTTTTTTAAATCGATTTCGTGCTACATCCTTGGAAAACAGCAGAATCAAATTTTTGCATGATGTTATCAGTCGAGAGCAGGTCGTGAATTCTAATGGTTGATGTTTGCCACATTATTATCTATCTATCTATTATAGCTCCCCAATAACACTAATGTTATCAGGTAATCACCCGTCCAGGCAACCCTCTGCCTCCTTCCAGGGTGCATGGATCACAGAGTTAGCATGACATGTGCATTCTGCAATGATACTGTTATGCCCGAGTGACAGTAGCCAAAGCCGTGAAACCCCAACTACCGTGGCCTGTATCTACAAACTCTGATTTTTTAATCCCTATATCTTTGCATTGTAGATTTTTTGATATTTCAAACTATATAATTCTGTAAAATAAAATAGTCTTAATTTGAAATATAAAAGACTTAGCAATCAGATTCCAAAGATATAGGGATTAGAAAACCTAATTTTCTTAACAATAAGATATAGTGTTTTGTAACAGGATTAACCATACAATAGTTTATACATGGTAATTTTATTAGTTATAGGAGGAAAAAATGTTTTTTATGAGATTCATTCTAACTTTTTTGGAGTAGAATACATTCCTTTGTATAAAGCTCGCTTTAAAGTACTAAGCCTTGATTTTAATTTCAAATATAATTTGAACTTTGATTTATGATTCCCAGCTGCTGAGCCGGAAATACTCTCGGTATAATACAATAATTAATAGATTTATCAAATAAGGATTTAGGATTAAAGGTAGTGACCGGCAATGTATGGTTGTCGAACTGAGAATGTAGTATTGTGGAGAAAGATTTTATAATCATTTGAGACTTATGAGAGGTTTTGCGGTTCATATTTGTTCAGCAAGAGGGCAAATTCTATCTTTAAAATCCTCATAGATTGTTCAGTTTTGAGGGATGATTTTGAGAATCGGTTTTTAAAAAATTATTCAATAACGACGACAAAAAGTGTAGTAAAAAAATCTACGGTAAACTAACTACTCGTCTAGGAACAGGTTGAAAAAAAATTAACCATTATCATTGAAGATAAGTAATCTAATTCAATTATTGGTTTCTGTAATGTCTAATTGTTCACAAACAGTTTCTGTAGATTTTCCTAAAGTTTCATTGAATAATTATAAGAAATCTGCGAACAAATTCATGAATAATAAGAAATTCAATAAAATGATGAAAAAGAAAGGATTGATTCTAACATTTTTTTACTGAGAAAATTTCAATTGAGAAACCTGTTTCTAAACATCTAAATTAGTTTACTGTAGATTTTTTACATTTTTTGTCGTCGTTATTTAATAATTTTTAAAAAAGTGGAGTTTTATCTCGTGAATATATTAGTATCTCTAGGGAACCTACTTTGAATCTTGTGAGCATGTATCCTGACAAACTTCTCTTGGAACCATCTGACAAACATTGCCTCCACTATTCTCGCAGTTGGAACTGAAACAAAAATTGTCCTTTTTAAAAAATGTAAAAGTTCGAAACTTGTATAATCTGTTTTTCAAAAACTTTTTTTCTTCGAAAAAAAATAATCCTGCGTATCGGTATGAAACCCTGTGTATCGGTATAAAACCCTGTGTTGGTATGACTCCCTGTGTATCGGTAAAAAACCCTGTGTTAGTATGACACCCTGTGAATCGGTAAGAAACCCTGTGTATCGGTATGAAACCCTGTGCAGCGGTATGCAACCCTGTGTATAGGTATGAAACCCTGTGAATCGGTATGAAACCTTATGTAGCGTGTGAAACTATGTATCGGTATGAAACCCTGTTTATCGGTATGAAACCCTGTGTATCGATATGAAACCCTGTGAATCGGTATGAAACCCTGTGTATCGGTATGAAACCCTGTGTATCGGTATGTAACCCTGTGTATTGGTATGAAACCCTGTTTATCGGTATGAAACCCTGTGTATCGGTATGAAACCCTGTGAATCGGTATGAAACCCTGTGTATTGGTATGAAACCCTGCGTATCGGTATGAAACCCTGTGTATCGGTATGAAACCATGTGTATTGGTATAAAAACCCTGTGTGTCGTTATGAAACCCTGTCTCGATACGATACTTTCTATCGGTGTAAAACCCTGCATATTGATTAGAAACCCTATCTTTAAAGGGAGTGTTCGCGAAAAATGAAAGGGGGTATAGGATGTTGCAATTTTCTCAATTTGTATGGACGCCATGTTATTCGGTATGAGACGTCTTTAACAATTTTCTCTTTATAGACGCAACAGATAGAAGTAAGATTATTGGCGATCAAAAGCGCTTTTTTATCGAATTAAGCCTATACCCCCTTTCATTTTTCGCGAACACTCCCTTTAAGAGACCTTCCATCGGAATGAAATCATGTATTCGGTAGGATTCCTTTATTGTATCGGTTTGAAATCCTGTTTTGAAAGTAGTGCACAAGTAAAAACGTCAGACCCACAAACGTCGCGTTGCGTTTGTGAAAAGGTAAATTGTTTTGTAAGATTTCTCCGGCCATAAAATAAATACATTTTTTGAAAGTGTAATTTCGAATGACTCTTCATGCTAAATTGACAATTCCCGATTAACTGTTGTACCTTTTAAAGCTTTGTTTGGTAAAGTAGAAATTATAAATCAATGTTTTCACTTTTAAAAACTGATTATTTTAAATTGCCATTGACAAATTGCATGGAGGAACACTTGAAATTACGCTCACAGTCTTTTTTATGCATCAGATATTTAACTTACTATGGTACGTCAAAGCAAACTTGTTTTTGTTGTTGCTGGTCGCAGATCTTGTATTTAACAGACCCGCTTTTCTTTACGGTAGTATCCCTACATTCTACCCCGGTATCTACAACTGCACAGTGCTTTGTCGTTTTTGTGACAATATTACATTTAAGGACCTCCTCCGTGATTAGGGATGATTTAGAATTCGAAACCTGAAACAAGACAAAAAAGATTTTTACAATGGAACTCAACACTTGCCACAAACTCTAATTTCCCAACCCCTATATCTCTGCAACATGATGTTGAAAACCTTTGATATTTCTAACAGTTAATTGAGTCAAATATTAAGATTTAAACCATTAGTTTATAAATATATTGTGATTAAAAGTTAGTTTAATATGGAATGTTCAGTTCCTTTCTATTAAAATTTGTAAATAACAATAATACACGTACCAACTTCATTCAAATCAAAGTTATTACAAATGTATGTTTTTGAAACTTTTGCATTGGGGTGTTACCATGGGAGTAGATCTAAGGATATGAGGAAATATGGTTAATAATGGGAGTAGATCTAAGGATATGAGGAAATATGGTTTACAATGGGAGTAGATCTGAGGATATGAGGAAATATGGTTTACAGTGGGAGTAGAACTAAGGATATGAGGAATTATGGTTTTCAGTGGAAGTAGAACTAAGGATAGGGGGAAATATGGTTTACAATGGGAGTAGAACTAAGGATATGAGGAAATATGGTTTACAATGGGATCGGAGTAGAACTAAGGATATGAGGAAATACGGTTTATAATGGGAGTAGAACTAAGGAAATATGGTTTATAATGGGGAGTAGAACTAAGGAATGAAGATATATGGTTTACAATGGGAGTAGAACTAAGGATAGGGGGAAATAAATATGGTTTACAATGGGAGTAGAACTAAGGATAGGGGGAAATACGGTTTATAATGGGAGTAGAACTAAGGATATGAAGAAATATGGTTTATAATGGGAGTAGAACTAAGGATAGGGGGAAATATAGTTTATAATGGGAGTAGAACTAAGGATATGAGGAAATATGGTTTATAATGGGAGTAGAACTAAGTATGGGGGAAATGGGGTGGTTTACATTAGGGTGTACGTGACGTTCTTTCCTTGTATTTTATGATATTTGCTTAATTTCTCTTATTTCTTTTCATTCTTTTCGCAATATCTTGTCAAAAACGTTGGCAACGGACGAAAAAAATCTACTTACAACTTCTTCATTAGGAACAGTGACATCAAAGCATTCCTCTTTTTGTCCGCTCTCACATCTCTTGGTGGGTATGGAGTAGGTTTTCGGCACCATTACAGTTCTGGAAACATTAATTTCATCTTTAAAATAAAATCATTTGCTCATATACAGGTTGTCCCACGAATCATGACAGTTGGGGAATAGTTTTAAATGTCTTTTATAATTTGTTAATTTTTGAGATACCAAAGAAAAGTATTATTTGGTAGTCATATTATTGTAAAATTTCAAAGTAAATACATTTGGGTAAAAGATTTTTAACGAAATAAACTGTAAAAAGCCTTTAATAACTAAAACTGTATATTGAAGAAGACATTCACCAACTGTCATGATTCGTAGGACACCCCGTATATATATTTGTTCAAACGACTGGACCAAATTGGCTGATATTTTTGGAGGAAACCCATGGGTGGGTATAGACTAAATTTGTTGTTGAAATTTTTGAAATTTCCCGGGCAACGCCAGGCACTTCAGCTAAGATCACAATTTAAATCAAATCACAAATAAACGGCGAGAGAAACTGTGACTATGAATGATGAGAATAAACCTGAGCAATGCCGGGTACTCCCGCTAGTTTCAAATATATTTGTTTAAAGAAAGGGTTCACAGTTTTTCATCCTTTATTACCGTCGGACAATGATCCCCGTTCCCTCCGCCAATTAATCAGTGATGAAAAATGCAAAGAATTATATTTTAATTGACCATAAAAAATTTTAGATTTCAAAAGTGAAATTTAGATTAAACTATAAATCTTCTATCCGAATCTGAAAAAATTTCCTCCGAAAATATTCGATTTTGTATTTTTTGAAATCCATTATAATAATAGGAAATCCATTATAATAATAGGAAATCCATTATAATAATAGGAAATTTTATAATAATAGGAAATCCATTATAATAATAGGAAGTCCATTATAATAATAATAATAGGAAAAAGTTTTTTTTTTTTAATGTAAGAGAGAAAAAATGGCTTGCACATGGATCGTAGATCAGCAACAAAAATCTTTAATTATAAAAAAGACGAAAAAAGTGTTAGTTGAAATTAAAGAGAAGACTGATACCTGCATCTAGTTTCATAATCTGTAATTGGGTTACATTCTGTCTTAAAGGTTGGAGGTGGTTGGATGTTTACAGTCACTGTTCGAGGAACCTTAAAAATTATAAAAAAAGAAGCTTTTCAAATGTTTTAGATTTTGTTTTATTGTATTCCCCGACCCTAATTCTTCAACCGCGACCCTTATTCTTCAACCTCGACCCTAATTCTTCAACCGCGACCCTTATTCTTCAACCCGACCCTTATTCTTCAACCTCGACCCTAATTCTTCTACCGCGACCCTTATTCTTCAACCCCAACCCTTATTCTTTAACCCCGGCCCTTAGTCTTCAACCCAGACCCTTATTCTTCAACCCCGGCCCTTAGTCTTCAACCCAGACCCTTATTCTTCAACTCAGACCCTTATTCTTCAACCCCGGCCCTTATTCTTCACTTCAACCCCGGCCCTTAGTCTTCAACCCCGACTCTTATTCTTGAATATCTATCCAGAACCTTATTCTTGAATATCTATCCAGAACCTTATTCTTGAATATCTATCCAGAACCTTATTCTTGAATATCTATCCAGAACCTTATTCTTGAATATCTATCCAGAACCTTATTCTTGAATATCTATCCAGAACCTTATTCTTGAATATTTCTATCCAGAACCTTATTATTGAATATCTATTCCGACCCTTATTCTTGAATATCTATCCAGAACCTTATTCTTGAATATCTATCCCGACCCTTATTCTTGAATATTTCTATCCCAAATCCTTATTGTTGAATATCTATCCAGAACCTTATTCTAGAATATCTATCCAGAACCTTATTCTTGAATATCTATCCAGAACCTTATTCTTGAATATTTCTATCCAGAACCTCATTCTTTAATATCTATTCCGACCCTTATTCTTGAATATCTATCCAGAACCTTATTCTTGAATATCTATCCAGAACCTTATTCTTGAATATTTCTATCCCAAATCCTTATTCTTGGATAAATCTATTCGACCTAAATTTTCATATAAAACTTTCCCGACCCTTATTCTTCAACCTTCGTCCCTGACTTTTATTTTTGAATATATCAATCCCGACCCTCATTCCTGAATATATCTATCACGACCCTTATTCTTGAATAAATCAGAAAAAGAACAAATTTTCAACGTCAGTGTAGCAGTAATTTGAAGAAAAACCTTTATAAATTTGGTAGAGTCGTGACTGAAGTCCCATATCCTTCTTGGGAAACTCTTTACATACCTTCATGGGAACTTGTCTACAGACCCTCTCAGATCCCATAGAACAACACTGCTGATTCCCGGAAGAACACGAGCTCTGAACTGATGAACTTTGGACCATGGAATTCTGGTAGCAAATTGGAACCGAGACCTTTATATAATTAATTGATACTTAAATTGATGAAATGACAATTTTGATGGGAAACATTAGGCCGACAATATGAACTATACTGACAATATAAACTATACTGACAATATGATATATAATGATAATATAAACTATACTGACAATATGAACTATACTGACAATATAAACAATACTGACAATATAATCTATGCTGACAATATGATATATAATGACAATATAAACTATACTGACAATAAAAACTATACTGACAATATGAACTATAATGACAATATAAACTATACTGACAATATGAACTTTACAGACAATATGAACTGTGCTGAAAATATGAACTATACTGACAATATGAACTGTATTTGCTAACAAAATAAACAATACTGCCAATATGAACTATATTGACAATATAAACTATACTGACAATATGAACTACACTGACAATATGAAATAGTCATTTTGAATGTTAGTCTTAATAAACATTAATCCAAAACTAACGTTCGTTCAATCGATGTTTAGTTCAATTGATATGACACCATCAACACCAGAAATCAAAACCGGTTTTTAAAAAGTACATCTTAACATGACACGCTGATTGGTTAAATTTTTCACTTCTTTCTTGGATATCGAATTTGTTTGAAATAATCTTGGGTTTAGTAAAACCAGAAGTTTAAGCTTTAATCTTGATATCCACCATTCTAAAGTTTTCAGCTCTGATGACATTATAAACTTTACCTGCTGACAATATGGATCAACAGGGCAGTTATCCGTTGCGCAGGCTGGAGTGGGGCAAATGTTTCTGGTCTGCACTTGGTTGGCGGAGCAAATACTCTACAGATAATTCAATATTTATCAAAGAATATTTAGTGATTATTAATCATAATTATGTCTGTTGATAATTTATAATATTTGAACGGAAAATTTATAATTTATTCGTTTGGAACACAATTTTGTACGCAGTTTTTAGACGGACATAAAGTAATTTAATTATGGGTTGCTTTGACGTAACACCTTCTAATTATTTTTTTTCAGTATCTTAGGGATGTTGAAGCAACAATTGGTTTTAGAAAAGATCGTCTCTGGTCTTCGATTTAATTGCGGCATTCAAGCGTCAATCTAATTTTGAAAGTAAAGTTTTAGTGTTTATAATCCCAAAATGCCCCATGGTCTGCACAATTCCAAAATTTGGTCTGACTTTTTTTGTGTTCAATGTGAGCAAGTAGATAGATACCTGGCCAGACGAAGAACATCCAGTATCACAACCAACTGTAGTGCATTCAGGTTTTGGTATATCATAACACTGTTCTCGGTAAATAACATCCAGCACAGTTCGGGTAACTTGCTAAACAAATCCGGGTTATTATCAAACTTGGACTCTGGTATTCTAGGAGTCTGATATACTGAAGTCTGGTATACTAGGATTCTGTAATACTAAAAGTCTGGTATACTTGGAGTCTGGTATACTAATCTGGTACACTAGGAGTCTGGAATAATGGGAGTTTGATATACTCGGAGTTTGATATATTCTGGGATAATAGAAGTCTGGTATACTTGGAGTCTATTATTCTAGGATTCTGGTATACTAGGATTCTGGTAAACTAAAAGCCTGGTATACAAGGAGTATGGTATATTAGGAGTCTCATATACTAGCAGTCTGGTAAACTAGGATTATGGTATACCCCTAGTCTGTTAAACTATGAGTCTGGTATACTATTAGTCTGGTATACTAGAAGTCTGGCATACGAAAAGTCTGGTATACTAAGAGTCTGGTATACTTGGAGTCTGGTATACTAGGAGTCTGGTGTACTAAACGTAAATTAAGAGATTGAGGAGGTTGGAAGACAGGAAATACCTGAGGAGGTTGAGGAACAGGAAATACAGAAAGAGGTTGAGGGACAGGAAATACATTAGGAGATTGAGGGAAAAGAAATACCTGAGGAGGTTGATGGACAGAAAATACCTGAGGAGGTTGAGGGACAGAAAATACCTCAGGAGGATGAGGGACAAGAAATACCTCAGGAGGTTAAGGTACAAGAAACACCTAAGGAGGTTGAGGTACAGGAAATAACTCAGGAGGTTGAGGGATAAGAAATACCTCAGGAGGTTGAGGTACACGAAATACCTCAGGAGGTTGAGGTACAAGAAATACCTCAGGAGGTTGAGTTACAAGAAATACCACAGGAGGTTGAAGGAAAGGAAATATCTATGGAGGTTAGGGTCAGGAAATACCTGAGGGGGTTAAGGGACAGGAAATACCTAAGGAGGTTGAGGGACAGGAAATGCCTGAGGGGGTTGAGGAACAAGAAATACCACAGGAGGCTGAGGGACATAAATATCCAAGGAGGTTAGGGACAGGAAATACCTGAGGGGTTTGAGGGACAGGAAATACCTAAGGAGATTGAGGGACAGGAAATACCTGAGGGGGTTGAGGGACAGGAACTGTTCGACAAGAACTCCTTGTTCTAGGAATCTTTTCACATTTCATCTCTGGAACTTGTTGGGTTACTTGCTTTACATCATCTACCAAACTAGAAATAGTATACTAAACTGATAGCACTTCCAACTATTGGAAAAGTAGGTTATTAAATTAATGTATTTACATAATTAATTTTCCATGTAATTTATGGGTTATATTTATTGACCTTTCCCTGTAATCTGTGGATTACAGCTTAATTGTCGTATCTATGTAATCTATATGGCCAATAGCTTAGTTGTCCTTTACCTTTTATCTGTAGATTATAGCTTGCGTGTCATATCTATGTAATATGCGGTTTACATTTTGATTGTCCTATCCCTGCAAGCCGCGGATTATAGCTTAATTGTCGTATCTATGTAATCTATATGGCCAATAGTTACCTTTTATCTGTAGATTATAGCTTGCGTGTCATATCTATGTAATATGCGGTTTACATTTTGATTGTCCTATCCCTGCAAGCTGTGGATTATAGCGTACTTGTTGCTTAATATGAGGTGTATAAGCTACTTTTCATATCTCTATAATCCGTGATTTAAAGAAAACTTGTTCTATCCACGTAATCTGTGGTTTATAGCTGGTTTGTTCTATCCAAGTAATCAGTGGTTTAAAATTGACTTGTACTATCCATGTAATCTGTGGTTTATAGCTGACTCGTATTATCCTAAAATCTGTAGTTTAAAGATAACTTGTTAGATCTATATAATATTTGTTTTAAATTTTGATTGTCCTATTTGTGCAATTTGTGGATTATAGCTTACTTGTCTTATCCATGTAATTTGTGGTTTAAAGATTACAATTTTCATATCTATGTAACCAGTGGTTTACAGCTCACTTATCCTATCCATATGATCAGTGGTTTATAGCTTGCTTTTCATATCAATATAATCTGTGATTTATAGCTTCCTTGTAATATCTATATAATCAGTGGTTTATAGCTTACTTGTCCTATCCAATTGATCAGTGATTTATAGCTTGCTTTTCATATCTATATAATCTGTGGTTTATAGCTTACTTGTCTTATCTATATAATCTGTAGGTTATAGCTTACTTGTATTATCTATGTAATCTGTAGGTTATAGCTTACTTGTATTATCTATATAATCTGTAGGTTATAGCTTACTTGTAATATCTATATAATCTGTAGGTTATAGCTTACTTGTATTATCTATGTAATCTGTAGGATATAGCTTACTTGTAATATCTATATGATCTGTAGGTTATAGCTTACTTGTAATATCTATATAATCTGTAGGTTGTTAACTTACTTGTATTATCTACGTAATCTGTAGGTTATAGCTTACTTGTATTATCTATATAATCATTAGGTTATAGCTTACTTGTATTATCTGTGTAATCTGTAGGATATAGCTGACTTGCATTATCTATGTAATCTGTAGGTTATAGCTTACTTGTATAATCTATGTAATCTGTAGGTTATTGCTTACTTGTATTATCTATGTAATCTGTAGGATATAGCTTACTTGTATTATCTATGTAATCTGTAGGATATAGCTTCTTGTATTATCTATGTAATCTGTTACTTGTATTATCTATGTAATCTGTAGGTTATAGCTTATACTTGTATTATCTATATAATCTATGGTTTATAGCTTACTTGCAGGCTGGAACGGTCTCACATTTTTTCTCCGTCTTCATCCCTCTATTGATAAGCTCCTGATCCATCCAGGTTATGTTCTCAGAGTGCATCTCCATTTTCCTAAATATTGGAGAAATCAGTTCGCCTATCCCAATCATTCAAACTATCCCCTTACCCTATCCATCTCCATTCTACTAAATATTGGAGAAATTGTTCCACTTTCCTTCCCTACCTACCTCCATTCTACTAAATATTGGAGAAATTGTTCCGCTTTCCTTCCCTACCTACCTCCATTCTACTAAATATTGGAGAAATATCTCCACTTTCTCTACCCTACCCACCTCCATTCTACTAAATATTGGAGAAATATCTCCACTTTCTCTGCCCTACCCACCTCCATTCTACTAAATATTGGAGAAATATCTCCACTATCTCTACCTGTCACAGGTGGTAGTTTCATAGTCCCAGCATTTCTTTTCACGCTTTGTATCACAGACGGTAGTTGGTAGGTCCTCAAATACAGAAATACTATTAGATGTAGAAAATAAAGCTATGGTGAGCAATTAAGGCAATATCAAAATTGGAATTAAGCCAAAATTTTAAAACCAATCGTCTATATAACCCTAATCAGAAGATTATATAGTCGGAGAAATTACTACATATGACATAAATGACAAATTATTATGTACATAGGACTCCCAAAAAGTTTGAATATTTGTTATAATCTGAATTCAGATTTTAAAACCTTTTTTGGAAATATTGAAAATTTAGTAAGTTATATTCAGATAACAGTCCAAAAACCTGATTTCAAATTGTGTTGATGTTTTTGGTGAGTTTTTTATCTAACTCATTCAATATAAAATTTTGATGAAAATAATTCTGCACTGAACTTCAAAGAATTATCATATGATTTCTGGATTTTTTTTGTTTGGTCTATATATTGTCCGATCAACATTTTAAAAAAATATTTTCATACATCACTATTTTTTTGCTAATCGCTTACTGCACAAACCTCAGGCGAGCATGCCACATTGGTTTTGATTTTTTATTGCTATCGAATCTATTATTTTGTGAGGAATAAATGGGAAATGAACCTTGCTTAGTTATCTATGATTTTATCGGAAATTCTAGAATTTAAAAAAATGAAAATTTAAAAGTTTTCTTACATAAAAGACTGATTTGGTGGCATATCGGCATCCTCGGATAGAATAGCTCGCGCAGGCCTTCTTGCTGAAAGTCCTGCAGCTGGGTTTGGAAGCGTATTCACACTTCTGCTCAAATATAGTGTAGCACTTCTTCTCACCCATACAGCATCCTTCCTGAGCAGCCTGGCAACACTGGTTCATCACACCACAGTTACCTCCTGAATCATGATCTTACCAGACATTACAGTAGAGATCATACCAGACCATACAGTAGTGATCATACCAGACCTTACAATAGAGATCAAACCAGACCTTACAGTAGAGATCATACCAGACCTTTCAGTAGAGATCATACCAGACATTACAGTAGAGATCATACCAGACCTTACAGTAGAGATCATACCAGACATTACAGTAGAGATCATACCAGGCCTTAAGAAGATATCATGCTAGACCTTAAGAAGAGATCAAACCAGACCTTATAGCAGAGATCATACCAGACATTAGAGAGGATATCATACCAGACCTTTAGTTATAATCTTTTCCGACCTTAGAGTAGAGATCATACCATCATGATCAAACACAATCCTTAAGTAGAGATCATGCCACTAGAATGTTAATCATGATCATGACAGACTTAGAGTAGAACATTTGTTACGATTAATGATCATATATACCGCGAATATCTTTAAACTAAAAATTACCAGAATAAAGAACGCCAGAATATCCCGGAGACACCATTCCCAAACTTCCGGAAGATGCCATACTTGCACTTCTTGAAGAGGCAGAAGAGCTACTAGACAACCAGTTCCATGAATTGTAGGTTGAAGCCCCAGGAACTGGTTCCTGGGAGTAGGAGTAGGGGGAGGAGTTATCATAGGTTCCTAAAACAAGGGTTCCTTCATCCGAGTAGAGGGTTTGTTGAGGTTCAGGTTCAGGAGCAGGCTGTGGCTCAGGTTGGGGCTCAGGGTGTGGCTCAGGTTGGGGCTCAGGGTCGGCAGAGGCTAAAGGGGTTCCAAGCACCCCCATCACTGTTAGTATAAGCCAGACCTGGGCGAATAAATCTATAAAATTTATACGTTCATTTATTTTAATTTAAAAAAACAATTTAAACAACTATTTTGAATTGTTGCAACAAATTATGATATTGTCATTTTTTGAAATTTTGCATCCTTATGGCGTAATTCTTTGATATTTCAAATTCAGAATATTTGATCTAACAGAAATGAAAGTTTGAAATATCAATGGTCAACGACAGTGGGTTGCCAAGACTTAGAGATTAGAAAATCTGAGTTTGTGGCAACTCAATTCCTCTCTATGGCCTCTATTGTCAAAGGTTTTTTTTTATATAGAAAAATCAAACTTAAACTAATATGCTCTAATTCTTGAAAAAATAAACTTAGACGTTTATTATTGTATTAGATGTTATTATTATTAGTATTATTATTATATTAAACAACATAATTCATATTTTAAAAAAAAACACTTTCATTTGTAATCAAACTTTGTTATAAATGAAGCTTGGTTGCAATTTAACTTTGTTCAAATGAAACTCAGCTGCAATCAAACGTTGTGCAGTAAAAATGTGTTGCAATCAAACTTTCTTGTAATCAAACTGTGTTGCAATCAACTTTGTTGCAATCAAACTTTGTGGCAATCAAACCACTTCTAGTCAGTAACAATTGCAATCAATACTCATTTCCGATCAAGCTCGGATGCAATCAAATTTTGTTGCAATCAACTCAATTGCAATCAAATCAAATTCAATTAAACCTCAATCAGTCACAATTGCAGTCAATATTCATGTCCTATCATAAAAACTCAATTGCAGTTAATACTTAATCAGTCAAATTCAAATGCGATTTAATAAATTGCAATAAAATTCACTTGCAATCATATTTAAAGGGACTGTAAAGGAAAAATGAAAGGTCGTATTGACTGAAACCTGAAAGCATTTTAGGAGTTGATCTAGACTCATAAGAGTTCTATCTGATGTTCCTACCTCGATAAATTAATATAAAACTGCAGTCAAATTTATACAAAAAATCTCTAAACATAAAATTTTGTATAAAAGATGTAGTATTAAACAAATCATATTTAGCAAATACGCAACCAATCTGAAAACGACGATATCCCACAGGAGCCTAGTAAACTTAGGTTTGCTCTTTTTATAATTTTAAAATTTTAGTTCTTCATTTTTAATAGAAATAAATTATAATATTATTTATACGTCTGTTTCACATGACCAGAACTCCCACCAATGGCAGTGCGTATAATGGTCAAACGGTTCAGAGGTCAAAACTTTGTATTTTAAATTTATTCATAATTAAAGTTGGTTTAAATTCCCCTGTGGTGGGTTAAATTAGCTCGTTGGACACAGCCATACTTATTTTTAATCTGTTCAGTGCAATCCCTTCAGACCTGAGAATCAAACTTATAATTTGTATAATAATATGAGCAAACCTAAGTTTACTAGGCTCCTCTGGGATATCGTCGTTTTCAGATTGGTTGCGTATTTAATGAATATGATTTGTTTAAACCTACGATTTTTATACAAATGTTATACATAGAGATTTTTGTATATATTTGACTCCTTTTTAAATCGATTTCTCGAGACAGGAACTTCAGAAGAACTCTTCTTATGGGTCTCGATCAACTCCTAACATGCCTAGGTTTCAGCTTATACCCCCTTTCATTTTCCTGTACAGTCTCTTTAAATTGCAATCAAAACTTTATGCGATCAAAATTAGTTGCAATCAAAACTCAGCTGCAATCAAAGCAAGTACCAGACATAAGAGAGATTAATGTTAAATCAGTTGAAATGGAAATAGAATAATCAAAAATGGATTTATTCATAATTAATTCTTTATGATAATTTTCTTTATAATTCTGCAACTTGTCTATCCTCATTCTTTAACCAAGTTGCAAGATGGAGACAGCATCAGGGCTTGTCTTTAAGGGACTGGACTGTTTATGTTATTACAAGTGATTTTCAGTTATAAAGTGGCATGTCTGATTCAAACTGGTACTTTGTTTTCGTTTACTTAATCAACTGATAATAGAATGCTGGAGATAGTTAGTTTTTTTAATTAGATAATTAAATGGGAGCTCTTTAATACTGTTCCCGCATATTTCATGGCTATGATAATAAACCCATTGAAAAATTGTCAAAACGACATTTTATAAATTCTTTCGATGTGTCCGCGAAGTTCTGGGTTTAATTGTATATTATAGCATGATAATCCATGACTATTTATTTGCTATCCATTCCATGCCATATAGCCTTGCATACTTGAAATATCAAATACCAAATAAATTCTTTAATTTTAACATTTAATGACGATTTATCATATACATTTATAATGGAGCATTTCTATCTAAAATCTAGCTAGGTCAATAAAATTATTAGTCGGGTTAATAAATTTCAAAGAGGAGAAACCCGTTTGACCAAATTTAAAACAATAAAATCTGAGAAAGGAAAATCATGTGGAGGATACTAGATGTTACTCTCCCGAAAGACATTTTCCCAAGTGGCAACTTCCCAAATGTGAAATTTCAAAAGCAGCAACTTCCCAAGTCTGCCCTAGCGCTTGCCCCCCCCATTGCGGCCTGCGGCGCTTCAGATCGCCTCACATAACCTTTGGGAAGTTGCCGCTTGGGATGTTGCTCAATTGGGAAGTTGCCACTTAGAATCCGCCTTTGGAAAAGTACCTTACACCATGTGGTGACTAGGAATATAAAAATATTTACCGTCTTCCCCATGCTTAGCCTTTGGATGTTTTCACCCGAATGAGAGATGGGTTAGCCAACTGCTAAACAAGAAAATATAAACACTTGTTCAATATAAAATACTAAATATAAACAAATTCAAGGAGATAAATATCCTTACAGTTGGAAACACTGAGTTTGAGTAAAAGGGATCAGAGGTCACAATTAATGAATAGAGAAAAGTTAAACTACTTCTCCAAAAGTTTAGTTGAGAGTAGGTTCTGATCGAATATCAACGAATTTGCAGACATCCCTTGTTAATTTGCAGACATCCCTCATTAATTTGCAGACATCCCTCGTTAATTTGCCTGAAAAATAAAATTCCCCTACAAAATTCAACCCACTTGCAACTTAGAATTGTTTTCGTGGTTCCACCCAAATTTGAGGCAAATCGGTAAAAGTTTCGTTGTGATCAGGAATATAAACAGAGAAACAAGGTTATCACTCAATACATTTTATTTTTAATCCTTTGATTTGTGAATTTGAAAAAAAACTGTAAAAAGGACTAAACGTCATGTCTGGTTTCGCAACAAATATTTAGGTCTGATCAACAAACCAACCAACCATCAAAATTGCAAGTCAATGTATAGAAAGCTGATCCACTAGAAAAAGACCGGGGTTTCTCCTTTAACAGTAAAACGTTTAATAAATGACTTTAAAAAATTATATTTAATATCTTAAAATTATTTTCCTGACAATTTTATGAGTTATTTTTTTTTTATTTTCCTGTTTTTAATAATTTTTTATTGATGTTTTTCACTTTTTCGAGTTGTATTTTTCCGGCTGATTTTCTGTTTGTTTATCCTAGTTTGATACATTTTCCAGATTTTCCTTGAAATATTTTTTTTTAAAATTTCATTTTCTTTATTTTTTGTTGCATTTATTATCTCTTGATATTTTCACTAAATGATTAAGAATTATGCAATCATACTTCGTTCCAAAACCTTCATTTTTTTTCTTTTTTTATCAATTTATCTCAACATGACTTTCAGTGACCATTCCACACAGATATTTTGGACTGTTTCAGTGTAAATCAATTATATAACGCCTATAAAAAATAAACCAAATGAAAACATTTAACGCAGTTTGCTTATCTAATGATATCGTTTAGTTTAGAAATGTTTATGTCTACGACGAGAAAAACAAGTTTTTGAAATATTTGCAACTTGAAGGATATTTGATTTACTATTCTACAGTTCAAAAACAAACCGTATACTACATTTACAAGGATAGAATCATATATTTTTATCTGACAACAATTTATTTAAGTACCTAGAGGCTATTATTTTCTGAAACTACATGTCTCTACAAAACTAATAAGTATATAAAACCAAATTCTCCTTTGTGGATTTTTAAAAATAAATTGATTTTTAAAATTGGTCAAGAATTAAGGCACAATTCCTACTAATGAGGGAGTTTGGAATTAATAAAAATCATCTTTTTTGGTATGACTTCCATTATTTAAGGGCTTTTATGTACCAACACATTAAAACGCAAAGGAATTGCAACAAATCCCAATTTTCTAATACCTATATATCTACAACCTTATTATGTAAACCTTTGATATTTCAAACTTTGTCTGTTTGATATAACAGAAGTCATAGTTTGAAATATCTAAGGTCTACAACATTTGGTTGTTAAGATATAGGGTTTTAAAAATCAGAGTTTGTGGCAAAGACTTAATTCCTTTAGGCATTGTTCACAATGATGTTTCCAGCATTTTTTCGATCTCTGAAAGTTTACGGAAACCCTGTTTACACAAAATGCTTTTTTTGAGGCAAATTGTATTTTTCATTGCTAATTTACTAGCTAATTTACATCAGTTTTGGATGCTTTAATCACAAAAGTGAAATATACAACAAAAAATGTAACATGCTTTTGATTTTTGAGAATGCATTTATTTTTCTGTTCAGGCAAGAAATGGAAAAGATAAACGCAAATTAGGGAGATATTTTTTTTTGAATTGTTTACAGTTTTTCCTTCTTGGGTCAGTTATAGATTTTAGATTTTTAATCTAATGGGTATTTTAGGAGAACTTACAATAAAAAGATTTCCGCCACAAAACGTTTTCTGCCACAAAACGTTTCCTGCTACAAAGCTTGATGGAGGTTTAAATATTAAACATATTTACTTAGCAATTAATAGTTCACTTTTTTTCTAAAAAAAACCTATGATGATTTTCAAGCACTCTCAGGGGGTTTGTCGTTTCCTGTTTACGTTAAATCAATTATTCTCTTTATCTTTTCAAAGTAAATGTTATTTTAAATTGTTAATGTCATATTAATTTTATAAACATTATAAACACTCTATTTTCCTTTTAAACAAATTTTGCAGCATGAAATATTTTGTAGCAGTAAACATTTTGTAGAGGAAACTTTTGTAGCAGACACAATTTTGTAGATGACACTTTTTGTAGCAGAAAACATTTTGTAGAGGAAACGTTGTGTAGCAGGAAACATTTTGTAACAGGAAACGTTTTGTGAGAAGTCATTTTGTGGAGGAAATGTTTTGTGTCAGGAAACATTATGCATTATTTTTGTGAGAAACCTTTTGTAAGTCTTTTATTTGATTTCATCCCCTTCAAGTTAGAATTTTTTAGAGAAAAAGCGAGCGCATAGTTTAAATTGGAAATTCCGAACGAAAAAATTGATGATTAAAATTTTTTGAAAATTCTTTAAATGTTTCACATTTTACTATAACATCCTTAAGTGGTGTTTTTAAAGAAAATAAGTCAAAAAAAAAATTTCCCGCCAAAAATAAAATCTTTCATTAATTGTAAACAGGGTTTCAAAAAATTTTTAGAGATTTAAAAAATGCTTTAAACATCATCATCAACTTTTGAAAAACGCCTAAATTTTTTTCAATATATTTATTTTTCTACGCCTTTGAATAAGGAAATGCATGCCAAAATAAAGGATCTTCGATAACTCTGGAATTCTCCAATAGTAGGATTTGTGCCTTTATTCGTTACCAATTCTAAAAACCGATTTATTTCAAATATCCCATGAGGAGAATTTGGTTGATATGGCTCATTAGCTTTACGTAGGGCCATGCAGTTTCTAAAAAAATCATTACATACAAAGGCCGATTTTAAACAATTTGAGCTGCGGCTTAAATTTGAGACGAGGCTCAAATATAATTGGTTCTACTTAAAATTGTATTCAATGTTTCAAGATTTAAGCCTGCGCTCAATTGAAATCATTCATTCATTAAATTCGAACTCAACTTGACTATTTTCAATTTTATTCATTTTTTTTTCAAAATTCTTTAAAAAATTAATAAATCTTAGAATATTTTTTATTGTTTTATATTATAAAAAGAGAAATTGCCCCAGATAGAGCAACAATCAAAAGGTAAAATTGAATATGGGCAGAAGCTCCCTGGATTGCCTACACATTTACAAATTCTTTCAAAAGTTAATCATAAAATCATAAATTTTCTGTTTTCCTAAATATTTATTTTTGAATAAAGCCATATTATTTATTCGCATCCGTAAAATAAGTACATAATACGTTTAGATGCATGTAATAATATCACTATATTTGATGCGTCAATAGCCGTACATATGTACATTACGTACACACATTCAATATGCATGACATACATTTTCAACACAGCTGCTAGAGTTTAACAATTATAACATTTATTTGTACATTCTCACGCTGCAGATTTCATTTCTAGAAAATTACAACTTGGCAAATTTCTTTGTATTTATTAAATGTAAAAAAAGAGCAAAAAATCACCTATGTCGTATGTTTATAGTAGATAAAGGGGTAATTCGTCTAGTTTATATTTTAAGAAAACGATGTTAATGTATATTAGCCTATTAGGACACCCACCCCCTTTTATAGGTTTTATTTCTGCCCTGTTCTACTTGTTTATAGATATAGGAAATAACTCAGTTTTCGTTGTTACTGTGTTTACAGCAAGTAAATTTCTAGCAATTATAACTGCACCCATTTGCAAGGGTAACTGTTAGATTTTTGCTTTTTATCCGGGATCTTGACTTTTAGCTGGAAAAACTGGTTTAAGGTCAACTTAAACTTCGTTCTCAATTTCTCAAATCAACTAAAACGTCACTTAAGCTCGGCATGAGATTGCGTACATAAGGAAAACTCCGGTTTCCTACAACTAGATCTCTGCTGAAAATAATTGGTCTGGAGGTTATTCCTCTGCACGTGTTGAGAGAAGGTTGATAAGCGAGTATATATTTAATGAATGTAAACATAAATAACATTGTGTTTGTCATGTTAAAATTTGAAACTAGTTTGAAATTTGGAATTTTGTTGATATTTATTTGCAGTAAACATTTTTATATCATAAGTTTAGTGCGTTGATATGCAAAATCAATCACAAATACGCACTGAACATTCAAATAATCAATTTCATCCTCAAGAGATAAATAGCTTTTTTTCAAATACATACTGAAATACTTCCTAAGATTTATACGCGCTGAAAAATGTGTACTGCAAATGTGTACTTAAAATGTGTGATTAAAATAACTGAAAACAAGCATTTAACATTGAGATAAATCTTCATAATAAGTTTCTAACTGATTTAATTTTGTTGATTTCTTTTGTCAAAATTCAAAATCTGCATTAATGTCACCATGCTTGTGAAAAATTAACTGTTTGCACATTTACGACGTGAATTTTTGAGAATTTTTTCTAAATGTATGAAATAAAAGTTTACATTGAATACATATAAATTCTACACTATATTATATTAGGCATCTCATGAACATTTTTGGTAAAAATGTGAGAAAAAATTAAAGTAAATGCTGTTAAATCTGCTTATATCTAGACTTTTTGGTCCAAGTTGATTAGTTTATCCTCAGAGAGCAGATTAAATTTTCAAAAGTCATAACTTTTATGCTAAGCCTAAGCAATAACAAATTAAAATAAAATTAACAATTTCTAATTATAAATCTCCTAATAAGAAGGTTTTTATAAAAAAATCTGTGAAAAATCTAACAATTTTTTAAAGACTCCTAATCAAATTTTGTTTATTTTTTGTTAAAAAGCACGTGTGCTAACGGATCTATTATATGCCCTCTATCTGGTCTAAACTTTTACACATGTTTGAAATATTGACACATTTAGCCTTGACAAGGTTCAGTGGGAGGAGAAATTCTAAACTAAGTGTCAAAAATATTTCGTAGATGTTAAAACTAAAAGGTGGTACTGTGTCTTGGTTGAATTAAATCTCCGGGTTTCAGATATACCCGAAGAGAAGTTCGAACTATTCGTCCCATAATTTAGCTACTGTAGAGGACCAGGCAGAGGACATCCAACCTCAATCCTGCCCCGGAGGCTGAGTTCCATTGCTGTGTGCTAGTTGTTCCGCAGTGGGTCGACTCCGAGCTGTTTTTGACCTGATTTGACCGGCCAGGAGTGGGTTGATTGCGTACAGCCAATCATGGAGGTCACGCTGGGTCAGAGCTTGTATTAGGAAACCTCTATCTGAGGTCACAATGCTGAAACTTGTTCTCATTGATCTTGTATAAACCCTTGTTCTTATTGATCTTGTATTAACCCTTGTTTTCATTGATCTGATATAAACCCTTGTTCTCATTGATCTTATATAAACCCTTGTTCTCATAGATCTTGCATAAACCCTTGTTCTCATTGATCTTGTATAAACCCTTGTTCTCATTGATCTTGTATAAACCCTTGTTCTTATTGATCTTGCATAAACCCTTGTTCTCATTGATCTTTACACAAATTTTGGCCGAAAAACTAAATTTACAATTATGAATCCATCTATTTTCCACCCTCCTTTTTAGAATTAGATTTCAAAATCATTTCTTGTCTATACCTGAATGCATTAGGAACATTAGCAGCGGAATGGTGGGAACTAAACTCTGTTTTAGCAGTTGCAAGATTAATTAGAACTCGTTCACAAGGATCCCTCTCATCTCGGTACAAGAATACATACGGCCGCCGGACCACAACCCACCTAGGTGAAAAATAATGTTTAAAACCTAGTAATTTAAAAATTTCCCAGCATTGGATGGAAGTGTTATTCAGACAAGCATTCTATAAAACTTTAGTTTTTCTTAGTTCCTTCGCAACATTTTTTAAAAATGTGATTTCAAATTTTCAGCAGATGTTTTATCATAATTGACACGAAACAATAACATTTCGCAGATATTTTGGTCACTTCTATGACATAACAAAATATAAAGCTGTTTCAGGGAAATTATTTTTTCTAACTGGCCATACAAACTTCCTTGGACTGTGTGAGGTACTTTAAGAAAGTTATGCAAAATCCATTTTGTCGCTTCTACGTTTGTTAAATACAAACGGACAGTACAAAATAGTAATATAGAATATTAGATAATCGATATATCCCGGATAAAGTTTTCTGAAAAATATTTATGAAAACAAAATAGTAATATAGAATATTAGTTAATCCATAAATCCCGAATAAAGTGCAGTCTGAAAAATATTTATGAAAACAAAATTCTATCGATTTGCTTTGTTTTAACAGAATTGCCTCTGCAATTTGCCTCTCTTGTTACGTTATTTTTCTGACAAAAAAATATGTAAGAAACTGAAAAATACATTTTTTAGGATAAATATTTTACCTTCTCTTCCACGCTTTACATTTTTCCTCTAGTACGTTTAGATATCCTTTCCTAGCGATACAAGGAGATACACGGATCTCCTCTAGCTCAGGGATGTAACTAAAATGGGTGGTGGGGGAAGGAGGACTCGGAGATTTTATTGGAGAACTCCGTCCGAGAAGATTTGGAAGATTTTCTAGAATCAGAGACCGAGGACGAGTTGGTTCAGGAGATAATAAACTAAAACAAAATAAATGCTTTTTGGTTTATATACTGTCTACTGTCTACTGTCCACTGTCTACTGTCTACTGTCTACTGTCTATTGTCTACTGTCTACTGTCCACTGTCCACTGTCTACTGTCTACTGTCTACTGTCTACTATGATTTAACTTACTCATGTTGTGAACTATGAGCTAAGGTGTCTGCCAGGAGTTTATCAGGATCTCCTGTAGGAGTTTCCTCTGTAAGGAGATGAGCTCCTTTACTAGGATGAAACTGGATCAATTTAACAAACTTGGTTGCAAGTTCTCTTTCAGCATTGGTCATCTCCCAGGTCTGGTAATCCTGGCTTCCTTGGTTGGGACGGACCATTGCTCTTCCCTCTCCACTAGCTCGGGCAACTAGGTTCACGGCTTCTTTCTCCCGTTTATCCAGGTACTCCTTGGAGGCTGCAACAACCAAGGGTTTATCTATTCCTAGCTTTTCTCGTAGGATGAGAAAATGTCTCGTCTTCTCTGTTTCCGTCAATCTATGAACATAAAATAAGATAAGGTTTTAACGAACATTAATTAATCTTAAATGTGTACAATTAACTCCTAACATTTCTCAACATAATCCCTTCAAAATTAAATCTTTAGACTCCTAAAATTATTCTTGATTTTTGGTTTATGTTTGAGGCGGAAATTAGATAAAAGATGGAAAATGTGATTTTACGAGGAAAATATAAATTCAACATTTAATTAATGATCTTCAGAAATTATTCTAGTAAACACATAAACATTTTTGAATACAGATTTAAATTCTTAAGATCTGAATGATTTTGTTCAATAATGCCATTTTTATGAGCGGCTTTAATTTTTTCTCATTGATCTTGAATAAACCCTTGTTCTCATTGATCTTGAATAAACCCTTGTTCTCATTGATCTTGTATGAAGCTCCCTGGATTGCCTACACATTTACAAATTCATCATATTTATTGTGACACACCGCAAACCTGGTTAGTTTCTCTAGTTCCCATTGATGATCAAAGATCAAAGAATCTCCTCTAGGTCTCCAACCAACAAGGTTCTCTTCTCCTCTCACATACGTATTTGAAGTATCCAGAACCCTAGAAAATGTTCTAACATGCATTTTTTTTAGATATTTATGATTACTAGTTTAGTTCTAGAATTATAATCCACATACACGTAACTTTGATTTGAAATATTTCTGAGATTGGAATTAGATACAAAACTTGAATGTTATACAGAATTGGATTTAATGAAAGAGAGAGAAGTAGTTAAACCAGTTCAACCTTGTTCAACTGTCTTAAACTAGCAATAGAGACAATGTTAAACTATCCGTACCTGGTTCAACCACTTTCTCGAAACTCATTAATTAATACCTCAGAATTTCAAGCTTCAATCAAAGGCCTTAGTCTTTGCCAACTAATAAAGTGTACTAATCTCTATATCTTTGAAAAATGAGAGTGTAAACCTGGATTTTTCAAACTTAAGATTATTTGATCCAACAGAATTCATAGTTTGAAATATCTAAGGTCTACGATATTGGTTTCAGAAATGATGGGATTAGAAAATCAGATTTTGTGGCATGATTTCAGGATTTATCTCTAATTGGATTGATGAGATAGATAGATAGATGTTACTGCTGTTGCAATTTCTATTGGTTCTGAACCCTGATTGGAACAGATACTAACGAAAAGATGATTCAAGAGTGGTTTCATTAGTTTACCTCAGGGAGTAACGAATAGAAGGGAGATATAACTGACGCGGTTCGCCCTACCATATGATTAAACATGCTTTGCAGACGGTACTTTATTTGTATTTGAAATATTCAGAACAGGTTATTGTATACGCGGTAATTGTACATCAGACAAATATTTCTTATCAGAGCGCGATAAGAGAGTTACAGAGATCGATTAACACCTATAATATGCGATATTTTCCACAGCATGTTCTATTGTGTACAAGAACTGTATGTACACGACCAATCAGGAGACATCTGTATTCAGGGATATTTAAGGATCCTTTGCATAGGAAATACAAAATTTTTAAAAATAGACAATATTCATAAACGTTTTGTTTTATTTTTAAAATTGGAGTATTTCTTTAAAAGTTGTAAAACTTAACCCCTGAATGCAAAAAATGGCCGTGAGATGTCAGTCAAAAAACATTACATGGAACCGTAGCATGGCGTGCCTGGACACTATAGGCCTGCTCAGCCTATCCAGGTAGAGTGTATGAGCAGTCTGTGTAGTATGTGTTTCTTATTCAAATGGAGTACCGTCTGCAAAGAGTGTATAATCATATTCATGTGGTAGGGCGAACCGCGTCAGTTTTATCTTTCTTCTATTCATTACTCCGTGGTTTACCTTCTCTGTCTCCTCTGAAGTCCAGGACTGCCTTCTATCCCTCGTCTCATGATAAGTTCATAAACTCCTCTCAACCTGTTCGCCTCTGGGTTCCTGAAGGTTCCCTGGAACATATGTTTAAGTCTGGGACCTAATCTACCATCTCGCCCGTAGACTATCATTGCCAGATCCTTGGTCACTATAGCAGGCTGAGCACATCCGTCCAACTAGAATAGTATTTTATCTTTAACTAACAAGAGTAAAATAAAAACAAATTGTTACATCCTGGAATTGGCAAAAAAGGGGTTTTATTTTAGATTTTAGATAAAATAAATAAAATTTGACGTCATTATCCTTACTTTTTTTTTAGTTTTTTATTTATTCCATCTGACAGAGATAGATTATATCAAATGAAATCCAAACTATACCTCGAGATATGCTGAGATGGTAATATAGATAGTTTCTCCTGATGGAGTAACACGGTTCAGAAGAAGAGAGTTATGGAGAGAACTGTCCCAGGCTGCTTCAAACCTGAACATGGTTCGATCGTCTCCAGGTATCTCCAGCATCTCTCCTGGAAACAGACCCAGAGATAGGATAGATCCGTCCTCGTCGTCCTCCAGGTGACAGTCTGGACTAGATCTGATAGAAACGGTTCAAAAACAATTAATTTTAACCCTGACAGCTTAAGATTGAACCGTCAACATCAAGTTTTTAAAATTAGTCTTAAAAAGTTGTTAACATAAAAGTTAGATATCTTGAACGTTTCCTTATTCGTCCCACAACAAGTTCTCGAACCTCAGACCATTTAAGCACCTTGGCGCGTTCATGAACAATTGTCAACCTAATCCTTCTCTGGAGTCCATGGTGGAGATAGAACAGTCCTCGACAAGCTAGATCCTCACTATGATCCACCAGGACTGGAACATACTCCCCTGATGAAGCAAGCTCCAGGATCTCGAACCAGACAATAATATCATGCTTGGAGTGTATGAGGTTAGTGGCAGGGCAGCTGGACGCACTGAATTTACTGCTCCGGATAGGTTGGGAGATAGGGATAGCTGGAGGGAGGAGACGGCGGGGTGGAGGACGAGGACCTTCAACCAGGTTCATCTAAACATTCAGATTATTTTACGTTTTTGTAATCACAAACCTGCTTCTTAAACACATTTTAAGTTTAAATGTTACTGATGATTTTCATGGAGAAAACAAAGATTTCTTTATAGTTTTATTAAGACGAGGGTTTAAAGGTTGCAATTCGTGAATCGGAAATGAACCTCTTTGAAGGGTACCTTTAAATTACGTTCCTTTAGTTCGGATTATCACGTCCGACGGATTTACATTAAAGGGAAAAAACAAATATGTTGAAAATCTCATGTTTAATATGAAAAACACAAAAGTTATGTTAATTTAATTTTAAAAGTAAAAAAGTTTAAAAGTAAAAAGTTTTGTAAAAAAGTGATAGTTTTATATGGTGTACGTGTATATACCTTAGGTTGAACTGATGACTGATAATGACCATAAACCTCAAATATCATGGGTTGAGTTTTCATGTACTCAATAAAGGACCTGGAGACGGTTACGGTTATATTTTGTACGTGGTAGAAGTTCAAGGAGGAGCTTTTCCCAGTATTTTTCAAGGGTTCGGTGGAGAATGCTTCATCATGTCTGTTTACAAAACTAGGATAAAAATGTAATTAATATATATGTTGGTACTGTTCTACACTACTGTATACACACTTATTCTCAATGTACGTTTCTGATAAAAAACGTTACGCCTCAAAAATGTGTATCGTGTTAGGATAATGAATATAATATTAAGTTTTAATTTAATTTAAAAAAGGGTATTCAAAATAACATGAATTTAAGAAATTTTCAAAACTTTCTTTATAAAAATATGAAGACAATTCAAACTCGAAAAAAAAAGTTTTAATAAAATTGTTCATAATAACATCTTACGCGTACGCGTGATTCCAAGTGACCTTTCATTCAAAGATGGCAATCCCCGATTAACAATGCTTTGTCTGATCAATCATCATTTAGATATTAAAGTTAAAATTTTTGAAAACAGATTTTTTTCAATTGTTGATTCGCTAAAAAAGTGACTTGCGCATTTCTACAGCAGGAAAACTTTATAAGAATTATCAAAATCAAAACACCTTTAAACCTAGAAAATCTCGTAAATATCTAGCACATTATTGATCTGATAAAGGTTTTAAAGGTACAGTTGTGAATCCGGTATTCAAGGTCACTTGAAATTTAGGTTACAGTCCCTTTAAGAAAAATTACCATAAAAATGTGGGAGTGCCTCTGTATCGCTTACTTACTTGAACTGAGTGAATATATCAGTATAATCTGAAGATATCCCGTAAGCCTGGAGCACTGTAACCCTGAGCGTGAAATCCTCTCCTATCCTGAGATGCTCCGGTAAATCCTCGAAAGTCTCCTTCTTCTCATCATTGTCGCTGTGCCTAGTATCCACCTCCTTCTCCGTATCCGGTTCTGTAACAGTGTGTCCTATACATCCGGAGCAGAGAACTCGAACCTCTGAATATATTTACAACATCTAGAACATGCACTATACATCCACCATCCACCATTTTAAGGAAGCACGCAGAAAAGTCGCGTATAGTCGACAGTGTGAGTAATAGTAAAGGATGTCCCAAGAAACTTTATATAGGTATGGTTGATTTGGAGTTTTCTGGGATGTCCTGTATATTCATACTGAACATGCCATGCTTGGGTTTGACATGCTACACTGTACACAGAAATGCTACAAAGTACTTGATTTGTTGTTTAATGCTTAATAAGATTTACAAAGTTTAAAACTTATAGCAATCTTTGTTTACAGTGATACCACTGACTAACTATACTCTACTTTTCAGGATTGCAACCATCAAATAGAAACAGCAGAATTTTACAGGGTTAACAAGAAAACTGGATTTTTCGAGGATTTTACAGAGATATATGTTAGGAGCTTGGAACTTTAGAATGGTGGATATCAGGATTAATTATTAATCCTCTGTTTTTGCTAATCTCGTGACTAACATAATCTGGAGATAAAATATTTAGATCAACAAATTGGATTCTATGAACGCCAGATTGGTTCGCTTTCTTGACTGGAATTTCTCACCCATTTATTTATTAATACATTAGTTAAAATTGGTTAAAAAGGAATCTCAAACGTATTATTAAATATTTTTCTTCACCGATTAATTTACAAAATGGCCGACAACAAATTCTTTATTTGTTAGAAATTGCGGATTTCTCTCATGGGATAGAATTTATTTTCAAGGCTGTCATTGGTCAATACAATTCACGAACTTTACTCCTGCACTCTCATTGGAGAAAATAATGCACGGATATTCAAAAAGAGAGAAAAAGAGTGGATTAAGGACTAAAATTAAAAGTTTCCACAGTGGATATTCGGATTAAGTAGTTGGGATTAAAGGTTATCTATTCTAAAGTTCCCAGTTAGGGTTACATGGATATTTACAATATTTTCCAGTGATAATCCAAGGACATTAGGAGTATTTTTCGAGGATTTTCAAGGCAAAATTATTTGACATAGAATATTCAATTATTTTCATTGCTCAATTAATAGATAATAAATTCGCGCTAGGTTCCTGGGTTGTATTAGAACCCGACCCAAGCATTTTTAGGATTACGTCATATTTTTGTTAGTTACATTTGCATAAAACTGTGGAATAGGAATACGACTGTTAGACTCAAGTTAATAATTTAGATAACGAACATTAAACATAAAACCGGTTTCAATTGAGCGCCGGCTTAATTATCTTGAAACTATGAATACAATTTTAAGTGACACCAACCATATTTGAGCGGCGGCTTAAATTTAAGCCGCCGCTCAAATTCTTTAAATTCGGCCTCTGCTCGGTTTGACAGCTTTGGCGTTTACTGTAATCAAACAGACAAGCAAAGATAGATAACAATTGGACAATATTGATTTTACTTAACGATTTGAAATCTGAACAAAAAATTTTTTAATCTCTGGTAATTTTGCAAACAAAGAGGGAGGGGAAATAAGCCCTTTTAATAGGTGAAACGTTTCTTTTTAAAATTAGGTTTACAAATAAATTCCCAATATATCTAAATGAGAGGACACATGTCATTCTCAACATTTCAAGAGTTTATAATTTTTATGGAAACACACTACAGCTTAATGAGAAAAATCTCCCTGAAAACTTCAAACTTGATAAGTTACAAACTATAATGAAAAACATATGTAAAAACTGACATGTTGATAAGATAAATTATGTTTAAATTCATTAAATATATTATTTTAAGCAGGGATTTTAAATTTTATTCATTACTTTTTACGGCAATTTGAAGAGTTGATATTTGTTTCCATTTGCAATAATGGATTACAATACACATGTTCAATGCATCTTTATACTCCTCAAAACTTGCAAGATTATCAAGATGTTTTCATGCAGAATAATGAACGGAAAAGAATTTACAATGTTTTTTTTTCGAATTAAATAATTCCTAAAACTAGAAAAATATAAAATATGTCCGAATTCATGCAGAGAAAATTATTTAATTAATTTTAGAACAAAACCAATCAACACAATACGATTAGTCAATAAAAAAGAGGCATTAATTTACATGTTTTAAAGGTTGGAGAAGGGAGGGGGCTAGGTTGCTCAGTTGGAAAAGAGAGGGGGCTAGATGGCAAGGCTGGAGATGAGAGTGGGTTAGATTGCAAGGTTGGAGAAGGGCAGTGGCTAGGTTGCAAGGTTGGAGAAGGGAGGTGGCTAGGTTGCAAGGTTGGAGAAGGGAGGGGACTAGGTTTATACAAGGTTGGAGAAGGGAGGCTCTATTAATGAATGAAGGAAGGAGGATGGATACTCTATTAATGAATGAAGGAAGGAGGATGGATACTCTATTAATGAATGAAGGAAGGAGGATGGATACTCTATTAATGAATGAAGG